CCCGCTTCGTGCACGCACCAAAAGTGCCAAGTACACAGAAGTAAAAGTGTATAAATTGCCCCCTTTGTGCTCGGGGCTCAGAGCTTTGGAGATCACTCTACTCTGAGCCTGCCGGCACTAAATAAACCTCCTATCCTCCAAGATCTCCGGGTGCCACTTGGTTCTTCCGTTGGGCGATCCAGTCCAGGTACCATAACAGGTTGAATGGTATCCACCCAGAAAGATACTTTGAAATCTCCCAGTATCTCAGAGTGTGACTTTATCTGGAAATAGGGTCTTGACAGAGGTAATCAAGTTATGAGATTAGAGTGGTCCTAATCCAACATTACTGGTGTGCTTATAAAAAGTGGGAACTTGGACATGCACAGAGAGATTATGTGAAAAAACACAGAACACCACTTGAAGGCAGATTTGGAATAATGCATCTACAGGAAGGAACACCAAAGATTGCTGGCAAAACACCAGAAGCTCAGAGAGGCATGGAGCAGATTCTCCCTCCCAGGTCTCTGATGAAAGTAATAAATAGCATTTTTCATGGAACTAGAACAAGTAATCCTAAAATTTATATGGAACCACAAAGACCTTTGTTGAGAAAAACAACAGAGCTGGAGTAGAACATCCCCAGATTTTGTGATATGCTACAAAGCTGTGGTAATTAAAACAATATGGTACTGGCACAAAAATATACACATAGATCAAAAGAACAGAATGGAAAGCCCAGAAATAAACCCATGCTTATATGGTCAATTAATCTACAACAAAGGAAATAAGAATACACATGGGGAAAAGACAGTCTGTTCAACAAATGGTGTTGGGAAAACTGGACAGCTATATGTAAAAGAATGAAACTGAACCATTTTTTAACACCATACACAAAAATAAACTCGAAATGGATTACAGACCTAAATGTGAGACCTAAAACCATAAAACTCCTAAAAGAAAACATAGGCAGTAATCTCTTGGATATCACCCTTAGCAACATTTAAGGATATATCTCTTCAGGCAAGGGAAACAAAAGCAGAAAAAAAAAAAAAAATACTGTTGGGACTACACCAAAAAAAAAAAAGCTTTTGCACAGCAAAGGAAACAATCAACAAAACATAAAGGCAACCCAATGAACGAGAGAAGACATTTGCTCATGATCTATCCAACAAGGAGTTAACATCCAAAATATATAAGGAACTTATACAACACCAAAAAACTCCAAACAATCCAATTTTTAAATGGGCAAAGGATAGGGGACCTGGCTGACTCAAATGGTAGAACATGTGACTCTTGATCTCAGGGTCATGAGTTCAAGACCCAAGTTGGGCATAGAGCTTACTTCAAAAAAAAAATGGGCAGAGGACCTGAATAGATATTTTCTCAAAGAAGACACACAGATGGCCAATAGACACATGAAAAGATATTCAACATCACTAATCACCAGGGAAATACAAATCAAAACAATGAAATATCACCTCACACCTGTCAGAATGGCTAGCATCAGAAAGCAATAACAAGTGTTGGTGAGGATGTGGGGGAAAAAAAAAAGGAACCTTCATACACTGTTGGTGGGAATGTAAATTGGTGCAACCACTGTGGAAAACAGTATGGAGGTTCATCAAAAAGTGAACAATAGAAATATCATATGACCCAGTAATTCCAGTACTGCCTATTTACCCAAAGAAAACAAAAACACTAGTTTGAAAAGATATATGCACCCCTACGTTTATTGCAGAATTATTTATAATGGCCAAGATATGGAAGCAACCCAAGTGTCCATTGATAGATGAATGGATAAAGGAGAGGTGGTATGTATGTATGTATATATACGTATATATGTGTGTGTATATGTGTATGTATATATGTGTGTATATACACATATATGTGCATACATGCATGTATATGTATGTATACATACATACATACATAAAATGGACTATTAGCCATAAAAAAAAGAATGAGATTTTGCCACTTCCAACAACATGGCTGGACCTAGAGGGTTTTACGCAAAGTGAAATAAGTCAGACAGAGAAAGACAAATACCATAGATTTAACTTATGTGTGGGATTTAAAAAACAGAACAAGTGAACAAACAAAAACACTCTTAAATACAGAGAACAAACTGGAGGGGAGGTGGGTGGGTGGATGGGTGAAATAGACAAAGGGGATTAAGAGGAGATTAATAGGGGTGCCTGCCTGACTCAGTTGGTGGAGCATGTGACTCTTGATCTTGGGGTTGTGAGTTCAAGCCCCACATTGGGTGTAGAGATTACTTAAAAAAGAAAAAAGAGAAGATTAACAAATTTCAATTACAAAATAAGTCCTGGAGATGAAAAGTACAGCACAAGGAATATAGTCAATAACGCTGTAATAATATATGGTGACTACATTTATTGTGGTGAGTACTAAGTAATGCATAGAATTGTTGAATCAATAGGTTGTACACCTGAAACTAATATATGTCAATTATACTTCAATATAAATAAATAAAAACCTATCTCCCTTCAAAGACAAAAACAAAAACAAAAAAAACCCCACACCCAACTCAACCAATACTTTGATTTTGAACTTCAGCCTCCAGAACTTTTGTCTGTTCTTTCAAGCAACCAGTCTGTTGTACTCTGTTATGGAAGCCCTAGGAAACTAATACAATGGGGATCAATTGGAATTCTCATACACTGATGGTCATGGTATAAATTGGTTGAACCATTTTTGGAAAACTGTTTGGCAGTGTCTAGTAAAGCCAAACATGCATATAATCTATGACCCAGCAGTTCCACTCCTGGTTATAAAGCAAACAAATAAGTTCTTATGTCCACCAAAAATCATGCACAAGAATGGTCATAGCAGCATTATTCATCATAGCTAAAAATAGAAACAACTCAAATATCCATCAACAGTAGAATGAATAAATAAAACATGGTATAAGCATAGAAGATTATTACAAAACAATGAAAAAGAATAAACTACTTCTACCTGCAACAACATAGATAATCTTAGGCATGATGCTAAGTAAAAGAAGCCAAATATAAAAGAATTCACACTGCAACATTCAATTTGTATGATGAAGTTTATGGACAAAACTAATGTGATAAACATTCATCTCTGGAGAGCTAATATTTACTGGGAGGGGGCCACAGGGAACTTTTTGGAGTGCTATAAATGTTCTTAACCTGGGTAGTGGATATATGTGATATATAACTGTAAAAATTTATTAAGCTGTTCAGTTAAAATTTATACATTTTACTGAATGTAAATTACATCTCAAAAAGGCAAAAAAAAATAAAATAAAATAAAAGCAATTTCCTCATGGGGAGCCCTATTGGTACACGAGAGAGATTGGACAGAAAGTTGTCTTTCATTATAAGTCTTTTCATTCTAGCTTTTTATTTTTTAAAGATGTATCTGCTCATGTGGTAACTAGATATAAAATAAGTAACTTGCCAAAAACAGAAAACAAATGTTTATTACATCATTTGGTTTATAAAAAATCTAATTTTTAATTAAAAAAAAATTTTTGTACTATTCCTTTTTTAAATTTTAATGCCAGTATAGTTAATACAGTGTTATATTAGTTTCAGGTGTACAATATAAGTGATTTTAACACTTCCATACATCACCCGGTGCTCATCACAACAAGTGCCCTCCTTAATCCCCATCACCTATCTCACCCATCCCTCCATCTACCTCCTCTCTGGTAACCATCAGTTCATTCACTATATTTGAGTCATTTACCTGGTTTGTCTGTTTTTTCCCTTTGCTCATCTGTTTTGTTTCTTAAATTCCACAAGTGAAGTCATGGTATTTATCCTCCTCTGACTGCTTACTTTGCTTAGCATTACTCTCTAGTCCATCCATGTCATTTCAAATGGCAAGATTTCATTCCTATTTATGGCTGAATATTCCATTGTATACATATACCACATCTTCTTTATCCATTCATCTATTCATGGACACTTGGGCTACTTCCATAATTTGGCTACTGTAAAAAATGATGCTATAAACATAGGGGTGCATGTATCCCTCTGAATTAGTGCTTTTGTACTTTTTGGGTAAATACCCAGTAGCATGATTACTGGATCATGAGGTAGTTCTATCTTTAACTTTTTGAGAACCTCCATACTGCTTTCCACAGTGGCTGCACCAGTTTGCATTCCCAACAGTGCACGAAGGTTCCTTTTTCTCCACATCGTTGCCAACACTTGCTGTTTCTTGTGGTTTTGATTTTAGCCATTCTTACAGGTATGAGGTGATATCCCATTGCATTTTTTATTTGAATTTCCCTGATGATGAGAGATGTTGGCCATCTGGATGTCTTCTCTGGAGAAACGTCTGTTCATGTCTTCTGACCATTTTTAAATCATTTTTTGGGTGTTGAGTTGAAAAATCTAATTTTTTTTTTTTTAAGAGAAACAGAGAGAGAGAGCAGGGGGGTGGGAGGAGCAGAGAGAGAAAGAGAGAATCTCAAGCAGGTTCCATGCCCAGCATGGAGCCCGACACAGGGCTCGATCTCATGACCCTGAGATCATGACCTGAGCCAAAATCAAGAGTCAGATGCTTAAATGACTGAGCCACCCCAGCTCTCTAAAAAATCTAATTGTTACATTTCCCAGATTTAAATTTCTCAGAAAGCTCAAGAAGATATCAGTAGCAGTGACAAGAGGCTTTCTTGAGATTTCAAGAGTTAGTAGGTACTCGGGGCGCCTGGGTGGCTCAGTTGGTTAAGCGACTGCCTTCGGCTCAGGTCATGATCCTGGAGTCCCAGGATCGAGTCCCACATCAGGCTCCCTGCTCAGCGGGGAGTCTGCTTCTCCCTCTGACGTTCCCCCCTCTCATGCTCTCTCTCTCTCTCATTCTCTCTCTCAAATAAATAAATAAAATCTTTTAAAAAAAAAAAGAGTTAGTAGGTACTCTAGGACACCTCTTACCTGACCACTTCGATTAAGCCACTGTAAACAACTTCATTCAAATATATGTTCTCAAACATCTTAACTTGCAGGAAATATGGGTCCTACCTATTCTGTAGCTTCATGAGGCCAAGTTCATGTTTCTCTTTTTCCCAAGCTAATTCTTTTTCCACTTGTTGAATTTTAAAAGCAGTTTTCCTGCCAATCTCAGCACGTATTTTGGAATCTATATCAAAATCCTGCAAATAAGTAGATTTGTTCATCAAAATGGGTACTTTTATCAATGTACATTATCAAACATTTCATACACAGATACAGATTAAGTTTTGTACTCAATTTCATGTTGGATTATAATTCTCTTCCAAATATCACAAACTCTCTCTGTTCTAGAAAAAAGTAACATACTTATAATTTTATTTCCACAAAATATGGAGAAAAGTTCTCAGAAATTAACAATACTGGAAATAAGGTTATACATTAAAAGATTTCCTCACAATAAAAACAATGAATAACAGAATGTTTGGAGAGTGCACAGAGTTAAAAACAAACAAAAAAAAATACCTCTACCACCCCAGAGCAACTCCTGGCACATAACTGGCTGGGCACAGGATAGACGTTCATGGCACGCCTTCCCATGTGACCCCACCCAGGAAAGACAGCTAAGTCTTTGGTGTCTTTTTGAGGTTACCAAGTTCTAGCTGGATGTCCTTCACCAACGAGGCCATTTCTCCCATAAGGATACTTAGGGGAGTAATGTTTTTTACCTTCATTCTTGGAAAAATATCAGAGCCCACATTCAGACTAAATTGTAAGTAGTAATTAATCTTTCCAGGGGTGTTTCTGTTTTAAGTAATGATATATATATAAAATGTTTAGCCACAGAACTCACCTCAGGTGTTCTTTATTTTGAATTATGTTACCCATATTCCATAAATGTCAACCTTTTTCTTAGTAAAATAGCATAAATATCTTTTAACCATTGCAGGTTGGTCTTTTTTAACCAATATGAATTATCCATTATTATTTCACCAGAGCATTTTTCATATGGAATTGGCTAGGTGCATCTAAAATTATAGGTATAGTCAGGATGATAAATTCTGGCTTTTTATTTGATTAAGTTCTTGACAGCAATTCCACTTAGAAAGAAGTACACAATGAAAAGAAAATCACTAGCAGGTAGATGGGGCTTTGTAATAAGTCAGAAAAGAAAAAAAAATTCAAAATTAGCTTGAACAATTTGTTGATTGTCCCCAAAACTACAACTAGACTAAGTCATCTTTTAAAAACTTTGTGGACCTATCAGTTACTATCTTTTCGATAGATCTGGTGAATTATAGAAATATAATCACAGAGAATCAAAATATATGTGCACCTATACAATGGTTGGATATCTTGGCTAGGTATAGTAAGGGTTGATAACCAGATTCAAACCTGTATTTATATCTTACCTTGTTAGCTCCCCCCCAAAAAAGTGAGGTAGCTAAATCCAGAAGTAAACTTTGTGTTATGTAAGAAGGCTCTTCTGTATCTAAACCAAGTTGGGTGTCAAATTCTACAGTATTTTAGCTGCTGCAAACACACTGGCCAGATAAGGGGAAGCTGAAAGATGATTTTAAGTGTTCCTACTTTATCAGCAAAATAGCCTTGATCCAAAAAATAGTGTATGTTAAAAATTAAAGTCAAATTTATTTTAGGCTTACTGTTCGCTTAAACTGCATATGCTTTGGTAATCCTTGATTCATTTCTAGAAGTTTCCAAAATTCATTCCTCAAAGCTTTGAGTTTTTCTCTCTTCCCAGCCTTTATTTCTTCCACTTCTTTCATTAACTTGTCATGTTCTCTTTTTCTTCTAGCATTCTCAATACTGAAAACAGAAATTGAAAAGGATAATGAGATACAGAAACAGCATAAAGAGGAAACAAGAACTCAATAACTTGGAAATTCTTTTGGCTTGGTTAACTTCTATAAAATGCCATTTTGCAACAGCTCAGGGCTAGTGAGTATTTACCAAAAATTCCCATACCTGTAGGCTTTGGGATCTTCAATATCTTCTGGAATTGGCTCTGTTTCAATTCCAAACTGTAGAAAGGGGAGAAATGGTTAACCTTTTAAATTGTATATTTCTCTTAAAATACCTAATATGGGGTAAACTGAGTTTTTCCCCCTCTGCCAATTTCTAATAATTACAGGCCTGTAAAGTATTTTCATAAGAAATAAATTAGGGAAAACTAGGGGGAAAATTGCAATTGATTAAACTTATTTGTTTCTGCTTTATTTAAAGAGGTAGGTAGAAAAACTCTTGAAAACTAATGTGTATGCAAAATGTTAATAGCACTATAATACGTCTCCAAAATGTGAATTGCTAATATTATGTGTTATTTAAAAAGAATACACACACACACACAAAGAATACACTCAAATTTTCTAGGTCATTTGTTTTAACATTGTTTTTTAGCTTACCCCTTTTCATATATGCATAATTTTCCCCAAATAACTTACATGTATCAGGAAGATTTTAAAATATATATTTTTTAAATTAAAATTTTTTTGAGTATAGTTGACATAGAATATTTTTTAAACTTTAAGCATTTCACTTGACCTTATTAAAAAAAAAAAAAGACATACAGTGAGAAATGCACAGAATAATATAGTTCCCCTCCTTGATAAAGAAAGATGAAATCAGAAATAAGAATCTCCTTTTAGAAAGGAAATTAAGGGAACTATGAAGTAAATCACTTAAAAGTACTTTGTTTATTCGGGTGCTATGCTATAAAATTTAAGGAAGGAGAATTATAATCCAGTGAACCAAACAAAGTCTGAGGTTGTCAGCTAATCAGTTCCTAAGTAGAACTTGTTTATTCTCTATTCTTTTGCATAACAGATAGTTCTCTGGTTTGTTGTCATTCATTGTGAAGAAAGAAGGACTCTCTTTCAACCAAGTTGTATTATTACAGTACTAGTCTTTATACATATGAAATGTGAATCTACATATTTTTGTGTAAGATAAGGTTTAGAACTTTTTTTTTTAAGATTTTATTTTTAAGTAATCTCTACACCCAACATGGGGCTCAAACTCACAATCCGGGGATCAAAAGTCACATGCTCTACTGACTGAACCAGCCAGGTACACCAAGGTTTAGAACTTTAGTAAAAGTGAAGTCATAAGACATGACCAGTATGAGAGACATTGATGCCTAATACATTGTAATTACTGTTAATCACTTAGGACATAACTTGATTGAATTTTATTTTTTTATTCTTTTATTGTCCAGAGCCAAGCCCCTTGGTTTCCCATTAGCAGTGTGATCCCCAGGATACTCAGCCATCTATCTCTTGGCCTCAGCTGTTTACAATAAATTTGAGTTAAACAGAGTTGCTACCAACTGTGTCAAAATACAGGCCAATTGTTCTCAATCCTGGCTGCACCTTAGAATCATGGGGGCTGAGACCGGGGAAGAGAGCAAGATATTTTATAAAATACTGATACCTGGGCCTCACTTTCAGATATTCTGATTTAATTGCTCCTGGCTAGGGCTCAGGCATCTGTACTTTTAAGGGCTCCCCAGCGGATTCTAAAGAACCTTAGACCTATGCAGAGCTTAGTACTCTATTTATTCAGTTCTTTCTGATTTTGCATTCCTAAAAGGAGAGTCCACATCAGTGACATAAGAAACACTGATTGATTTCATAAATAAAAGTATGCTATTATACAAATGTGAAATGGATTTCTTCTGTCCAATACAGATTTCCATAGAGAGAGCTGGCACTAGGTAGAAGAAAAAGATTTTTTGTTCATATACTTTCTTCTGTAATTCTTCCTGAGCTGGAGCTCTTTAGACAACACTCCACTCTCCTAATTTTCCTTCTATTAATAGAAATGAAAATTTACCTGCTCAAATCTGCCCTACTTTTTTTGTATCTTCTTTTAAAGTTGGCTACCTATTAAATGGGATGCCAATGTGTTCACAGGAATTTTAACTATGGTCTTTTTAATACAATTCCTTCTTCTTGAGGAGCAATTCTAATGGTTATTAGTGATTTTTTTTCCAAAGGAACTACTTTAATAATAGAAAATTCAGGTCATGTGGTAGGGCAAATGGATATATTTTGGGGATCTGAACCCTCAATCTTCATTACAAATCCAATGATATATTATGCCTAAGAATAGAATAATTTAACTAAATCTTTGGTCATGCTTCATGTTGTCATATTCTAATACTAAAGACATACTTTTACAACCCCTATCAAACACACAAATTTTGGTGTACTTCCCCTATGCCCCTTCAATAAGTGAATAAATGAAAAGCAAAATATATATCTGAAAAAGTTGTACATTTTGAAAACAAAGAAATTTTAATCAAGAAAGTGATTGATCTAGAAAAAAATGACTCAGTCTTTTTAATTTGGTGAATTCTATACCTTTAGTGTTATAGGGGAATTCAATGACTTTAATATTTAATAATAGAGGCACCAGAAAAATCAAAATTATAATACTAATAGCAAGAATAGACTATAAGGTGTGTCTAAAGAGTTTTCAGTTTTTAAAGAATGAGTAATTTTGACATCACTACTTTAAAATATTTATTTAAAATGGTTATTATTTAGTTACATACCCTGGGAGATGGCACTTTGGCTCTGATGTCTTTCTTCAGCTCAAATTCAGAAAAAATGTTGAAAACAAAGATATTACTATCTGCTCCAGTAGTCACCAAGAAACGGTCATCAAAACTAGTAGAGATGCCTTTAATGCATCCATAATCATTGTCATGGATATTGAAGTGCCAGTAGTCCTCTATATTCATCAATGAGGGATTATCCTGACTTAGGATATAGACTCGAATTGCTCCATTTTGCAATCCACAAAACATCATATCTTGGTGAATGCTATGAAATATAAATTGTTCTTCATATTAATCTGAAAATGTTTAATTTTAAATTAACTGACAAATGGCTAAATTTTAATAATGAAGATGTTATGGACTACAACATTGTGCCCCCCCCATTCATATTTTAAAGCTAAATAACTCTGGCAGCCCTAGCAAACTCATACAAAAGGGCAGAAGGAGAAGAAAAGCCAATTTGAAATTTGGAGCTATTATATTTGATCTTCAAAAGAATGGCATATATGCTTCTCAATTATTAAAGAACTATTGATTCAATTTGTGATTTCTCCAGAATCATTGCAACACTGAACCTTCATTATCTGACCATGCAGTAGCATCCTCCTGAGTAAATTCCTACAAACCAATTTTGTGAAAAACAGAAATTCTGACAGAATATTTGATAAAGGGACTTGAAATACAGTTTCAGAATTAGCTTTGATTCTATTCATTCATTCAATTTATTTAACTAGAAAATGTTTGAGTACCCCTCCATTTGGGCAAATCTTTTAAAATGAACAATATTCATGATGGACAATAACATAGACATAAATGGGATACGGGTTGGTTTTTTTTTTAGGGCTTTCTGAAATTCAGTTCACCTGAAAGTGATAGTCTGGATGGGATTATCCTCCATATCTTCAAGAAGACGAAAATCAAAAGGTTCATCCTTCTTTTTTGTGATAGCACTACTTTTGTCATATGGGGGGAACTCACAGTGATACAGAAAACCAGCATCATAGCCACCCTGGAAAAGAGAAAACAGCATAGAAGGTAGTATTTGAGCATCAGATACATATGATCACATGAAGATTTTTAGATTATCTCAAATTTTAAAACCTAAAATAGATGTCTTAAAACATCTATTTTGATATGATTTCTATGATTATAGGTAAGGTTTTATAAAGTATCTCCATTATCTATTTATATGCAACTATATGATTATACAATAATAAAACACCTTACAATAATTTGCTTGCCCCTTAAAAAAGTCAGTACAAGAGAGATATCACTTCTGACTACTTACTGAATTCCATTTTATTTCAGGTATTTATTCTGCATTTAGTATTCAGTAATAGAGTTTTGTAGGTCATGGTGTTCAGAGCAGTTTTGAGTCTAGGGCACTGCTCTTCTCCCTGAGGCAACTGGCAGTTCTGGAAGTGGCAGCTGAGAGGCTGAGAAGCTCAGCAGAGCAATCTGTTGCCTCATGGGCTTAGGAAGAGGGAGACAAATTGCAGGGTCCTCCAAGGAGAAGGAGTCACTGTAAACACACCTTCCAGTGGGTTTTCCATTGCAACCCTAGAACACTACACACTACATGTATGAGTCTCAATCACTGACTAGATGAAAGTGATCTAGGATTTCTAGCTGCTTTTCAAAACCAAAAATAAATTTCCAGGAGACAATGGCAACATACAGATTCAACATACAGATAAGTCTACAGTTTTTCACATACAAGGTCAATTACTCAACTTAAAAAAAAAAAACAAAAACAAAACAAACAAAAAAAAAAAAACAGGCATACTAGTTAAGACTTGATTGAAAATCAAAAGACAAGATTATGGTGGGAATGCAACTGGTACAGACACCCTGAAGCCAGTACAGAGGTTCCTCAAAAAGCTAAAAATAGAGCTACCCTACAACCCAGCAATTGCACTACTAGGTATTTATCCAAAGGATACAAACATAGTGATTTGAAGGGGCACATGCACCCCAATGTTGCACATGCAACAATGTCCAAAATAGCTAAAATATGGAAAAAGCCCAGATGTCCACCAACAGATGAATGGATAAATAAGATGTGGTGTATATATACATGGAATACTATTCAGCCATTAAAAAAATGAAATCTTGCCATTTGCAATGATGTGGCTGGAACTAGAGGGTATTATGCTAAGTGAAATGAGTCAGTCAAAGACAAATACCATATGATTTCACTCGTATGTGGAATTTAAGAAACAAAACAGATGAACATAGGGGAAGGGAAGGAAAAGTAAAATAAGATGAAAACAGAGAGGGAGGCAAAATTATAAGAGACTCTTGACTATAGGAAACAAACTGAGGGTTGCTGGAAGGGAGGTTAGTGGGGGGATGGTATAACTGGGTGATGGGCATTAAGGAGGGCAATTGATGTAATGAGCACTGGGCATTATATGCAACTGATAAATCACTAAATTCTATCCCTGTAACTAATAATACACTACATGTCAACCAAATTGAATTTAAATAAATTTTAAAAAAGGCAAGCAGATCAAAGAAAAAATCATGAGATATTGATTAAAATATTTACAAAATGGATTTCAAATAACCAAGATGAATATATATAAGGAATTTGAAGCCAAATGGAAAATTTAAGTAGTCATCTGGAATCTATAAAAAAATAAAATTCTAAAACTGACAAAATGACAAATTACAAATTCAATAGATGAGTTTGAAAGCAACTAGACACAGCTAGAGTTATGAAGCTGGAACAGAGATCAGATAAAGTAGTCAGACCAAAGCAGGAGAAAGAAAAGAAGGATGGAAAATACCCCCAAGAAAGGCTGGTGTGTGTGTAAAGTACATATGGGACATAGTGATAAGGATTAAAGTACATAAAACTGAAATCCCAGAAGAAGTAAAAAGTAAAAGTAAAGTAAAAAGTACAAGTAAAAAGATTCACGGCTGTGAATTTTCCAAAACTGAATAAAACTATGTTGGGATTCAAGAAATGCTATGAACACAAGCAAGATAAATATGAAGAAACTACACCCTTTAACATAAAATTTTAAAAGCAACTAGAGAAAAAGACATACTAGGTTTCAAAGAAACAATAAAAAGATGCAGCTGGTAGAATGGAAGACAAAAGAGGATTAAAAGATATCAAAGTTTGAAAAGAAAATTTCCAGCAAAAATATAATTTTTTAAAAAGGCAAAATGAGGACACTTTAAGACCCCCCAAAAGCCCCCAAAACAGAGAATTTGTCACTAGCAGATCTACATTATATATTATATATTTAAGGCAGAAGATGCAACTACAAAGATATAGAAAGGAATTCACAGCAAGAAAAAGGATAAACCAAAATGATATCAACAATATAATAGTAAAATACCTTTTGGGGTACAAATATATATATAAAGAAAATATAGGACAATGGAGAGGGAGAGGATACATAGCATTAAAGTACTCTAAGATCTTTTTTCTCTGAAATTAAAAGAATAAATTTATATCAAATTATATGAAGGAAAAGATGCATATTATGACCTTTAGGATCACTTCTAAAAGGAGGAGTGAGGGGAAGGAAAGAGAGGTTAAGGAAAAATTTTAAGTACTACAGCATGTTTATGTGCTCATAAGAATTTAGTGACCAGAGGGAAGTGAATGATACAGGAGACTAGGTGGTTTACTGCAGGAATAAAATATTGGAGGAAGTGAAAGGGGTGGGATCAAGACGCCTTTGGGAAAAGTGTCCTTGGCCAGTTGCAGGAGACCACTCATCAACTGGAACAATAGGCAAAGCAGACAAAACTTGTATGGATCCCCATAGGGTGTTAGTTCTGTTTAAGACAAGACAAGGAAAATTTCATTTTCTCAGTGAAATGTGAGGAGGTTATCGTTAGAAGGTGAGGGAGAGTGTAGCACGTTTGAGGGGAGGAAGAATTACATCAGTAATTCAGCAAGTGGCAGAGTGAACAGGACTGGGTGGTAGAATGGGCCTGCAGTGTGAGCACGGACTTGAGAACTGCGGTCAGGCCTTCACAGGGCGACTGGTCTTCCACACGGTCTACTTGGTTGCAGGCACAGAGCTGACAAATAGTTGCATCAAGCAGAGTCAGGGTCACTACCTCGGTCAACTGTACCTCAATCTTGTGTGCTAGTGGAGCTTGATGGTTAAAAGCATGGACCCTAGGCCCAAACTGCCTGAGTCCAGATCCTGGTTCCACCTATCATTAGTTATATGACCCTGGATAAGTTACATAACCTCCCCATGCCTTGGTTTCTTCTTATGTAACATGCAAATTATAAGAGGACTTATTTTATAGGGTGGTTAGTAAATCATTTAGAAGGGTGCCCAGTACAGAATAAATAGGTTTCCATATTTAGCAAATAAAAGTACAAGATGCCCAGTTAAATATGAATTTCAGATAACAAATACACCTAGGGCAAGTATGTCTCACATAATATTTATCAGGCAACCCTAAGAATAAGCACTGAATGTGTTTGTTATATAATAATTTTTGCACGTGTTTCAAGGACACCAGAACTCTGTTACATTTTATTATAGTTGTTTCTGTGCCTCTCTCCCTCGTGATAAGAAATTTCCTGAGGGCAGGAACCATGTCTTATTTATCCCTTCACCCTTGAACCCCACACAATAGTAGCCATCAACAATTCATAAAACAAAGACAGACAAAGCATCACTACTTTCTATCCTTGCTGCTAGCCTCCTTGGAAGTTGTTAACAAAGATGTATTTCTAGGAAAAATTGAACAAGGGAGAAGTTAACGCTCATCACTCCTTGTAGTAACAATCCTTGGCTAGTCAGTGTTCTGGCCTAGCCAAACATCTGGGATTGGTTATGAATTAATGATAATCTTTCACTTACAGGCATACCTCAGAGATAATGTAGGTTCAATTCCAGACCACCTCAATAAAGCTACTATTGACAATAAAGTGAATCAAATGAATTTTTTGGTTTCCCAGTGCATATAAAAGTTATGTTTACACTATACCATAGTCTATTAAGTATGTAATAGCATTATGTCTAAGAAAACAACATACATACCTTAATTTAAAAATACTTTATTGCCCAAAATTTCTAACCATAATTTGAGTTTTTGGCAAGTCTTAATCTTTTTGCTGGTGGAGGGTCTCACCTCAATGTTAATGGCTGCTGACTGATCAGGGTGGTGGTTGCTGAAGGCTAGGGTGGCCACAGCAATTTCTTGAAATAAGACAATAATGAAGTTTGCTGCAGCAGTTGACTTTTCCTTTCATGAATTTCTCTGTTGCATGCAATGCTGTTAACATTTTACTCACAGAACTTTTCAAAATTGGAGTCAATCCTCTCAAACCCTGCTGCTGCTTATCAACTAAGTTTGTAATATTCTAAACCCTTTGTTGCCATTTCAATAATCTTCACAGCATTTCTGTCAGTAGTAAATCCCATCTCAAGAAGACACTTTTTTTACTCATCAATAAGAAGCAACTCCTCATCTGTTAAAGTTATATCATGAGATTGCAGCAATTCAGTCCCACCTTCAGGGTCCATTTGTAATTCTAGTTCTGTTATTTCTAACACATCTGCAGTTACTTCCTCCACTCGAGTCTTGAACCCCTCAAAGTCATCCATGAGTGTTGGAATCAACTTCTTCTAAGAAATCCTGTTAATGTTGATATTGTGACCTTTTCCCATGAATCTAGAATGGTGAATCCTTTCCAGAAGTTTTTCAATTGACTTTGCCCAGATCCACTAGAGGAATCACAATCTATGGCAGCCATCGCCTTACAAAGTGTATTTCTTAGATAATAAGACTTGAAAGTTTAAATGACTCCTTGATCCACAGGCTGCAAAATGGATGTTGTGCTAGCAGGCATGAAAACAACATTAATCTCATTGTACGTCTCCATCAGAGCTCTTGGGTGACCAGATGCATTGTCAATGAGCAGTAATATTTTGAAAGAATCTTTTTTCTAAGGAGTAGGTCTCAACGGTGGGCTTGAAATATTCAGTAAACCATGTTGTAAACTGATGCGCTGTCATCCAACTTTGTTGTTCCATTTATAGGGCACCGGCAGCATAGATTTAATATAATTCCTAAGGGTCAGGATTTTCAGAATGGTAAATGAGCATTGGCTTCAACTTAAGTCACCAGCTCCATTAGCCCCATATTCTTTGAAGCCAAGCATTTACTTTTCCTCTCTGAAAGTCCTAGAGGGCATTTTCTTCCGCAATAAGACTGTTTCATCTACAGTGAAAATCTCTTGCTCAGGGGCACCTGGGTGGCTCAGTCAGATAAGGGTCTGGCTTCGGCTCAGGTCATGATCCCAGTGTCCCAGGATCGAGCCCCCCATCCGGCTCCCTGCTCAGTGGGGAGTCTGCTTCTCCCTCTGCCTCTGCCGCTCTCCCTGCTCATTCTCTCACTCTCTCTCTCAAGTAAATAAAATCTTTTTTAAAAAATCTCTTGTTCAGTGTAGCCACTTTCATGAATTATCTGAGCTAGATCTTCTGGATAACTTGCTGCAGTTTCTACATCAGCACCTGCTGCTTCTGTGTTATGGAGACGGCTTCTTTCTGTCTTTTCTTAAACCTCATGAACCAATCTCTGCTAACTTCCAACTTTTCTTCTGCAGCTTCCTCACCTCTCTCAGCCTTCATAGAATTGAAGAGAATTAGGGGCTTGCTCTGGATTAAGCTTTGGCTTAAGGGAATGTTGTGGCTGGTTTAATCTTCTATCCAGATCACTGAGAATTTCTCCATATCAGCAATAAGCCTGTTTTTCTTTCTTAGTAATCATGTGTTCACTGGACTAGCACTTTTAATTTCCTTCAAGAACTTTTTCTTTGCATTCACAAGTTGGCCAACTGTTTGGCACAAGAGGCCTAGTTTCTGGCCTATCTTGGCTTTTGACATGCCTTCCTCACTGAACTTAATCATTTCTAGCTTTTGATTTAAAGTGAGAAGCATGTGACTCTTGCTTTCACTTGAACTGTTAGAAGCCATCATAGGGTTATTAATTGGCCTAATTTAAATATTGTTGTAACTCAGGGAATAGGAAGGCCCAAAGAGAGGGAGAGAGGCAAGGGAATGGCTGGTTAGTAGAACAGTCAAAACACACACCATATTTATCATTAAGTTTGTGGTCTTATATGGGTGCAGTTCATGGCTCCCCAAAACAATTACAATAGTAACAAAGATCAATGATCACAGATCATAACAACAAATAATAATGAGAGAGTTTAAAATACTGCAAGAATTACCAAAATGTGACACAAAAACATGAAGTGAGCCAATGTTGTTGGAAAAATGATGCCAATAAGCTTGCTCAACACAGGATTGCCACAAACCAATTTGTGACAATCACAGTATCTGTGAAGTGCAATAAAATAGGGTATGCCTGTATACTTTCATGTCAATTATTACTTTTTTGGTTAATGGAGCTGAAATTTGTGACAAATTTATAATGAAGGAAATCCTGCCTTGCAACTGATCAATGTCTTATGATAGGAGTAGAATATATAATTAGAGGATACAGTTGTCACAACATTGTGACAGTCCTTGGTGTCTGTTTCCCTGATACCCATTTTTTCTCTTCTTCCTTATTAGCCAAATCCCAATTTTGTTCAGGGTGGCAAGGTGACCATCTAAAAATAGCCATCTTCCCAGACTTCTACACGGCCAAACAGCATAGCTGCAAATAACAAAGTGCAAGCAAAAGCTTACAGGATAGTGTGGCCATTATTTTCAAAATGTTGATTAGTTTCAAAATTAAAAAAAAAAACAAAAAACACAAATCAACTGGAAGAACCTTTAGCCCCTTGCCCTTATATCTTTAATTCTTCTCCCCTTTGACCTCCTGGAACATGTATGATTGTTATAGGTGATAGCAGATATAATAAAAAGACATAAAAGAGATATTAAGATGATATAAAAACTATAATTCACATTCATTCACCAAAATTCACCCCTTCAATAGTAGTTAATAAATGGTCTTACCATAAGAGTTAGAAAGTGAGAATGTGCTGGAAAATCATGATCATAAACTATATTTGATTAGGGCCAAGATAAAAAATTATGTATTACATTATTACTCACCAAAGAAACCCAGAACTTCCCTGGCTCAGAGTAAAATCCACAGAGGATGCGACAGGGAGTTGATGGAATAAAGATTTCAGGTAATGGCCCCTCTTCTTCCTCTTCCTCCTCCTCTGCCTGGAATTCCTTTTCTCCATCTTCTCCCATCTCTGCTGCTAGCTGCTTCCTCCTTTTTTCCTTCTCCTTCAACTCCTTTAGTGTCTTTCTTTTTTCTATTTCTATGAATCGCTTTTGCAAGAGACATTAAGATATAAAAACAACTGTAAATCATTCATTCATTTACAGGAAGGGGATGACAAAATGGAAGGAAGATAGGGTCCTAGAAAAACACAGCTCTGATGTAAAATAATATCATTTAAAAATAATTATCAATTGGGGGATATATATTATCATTAACATTTTCAAATCATTTCTGCATTACCCCCTTCAATCCTAGTTTTATAGAAATCATTTTCTCATTTTTTTCCTAATAGAGAAGCTAAACACAGTTTCTTCCAGTCTATCACCATGAATTAGGTAGATCAAAATAACCCCTGAGGAAAGTTGTCCCTATTTTTAGTAATAACTATTAGACCCTCTGCGTCTTTCAGATGGTGATTTCAAAAGCCACCTAACACTGGCATCCCTACCTCCCATCTTTTACCTCTTTCTTTTTTATCCCCCAGAATTATCCTCCTAAATTATATGATCTCATCACATCAATCCCCTCCTCAAAATCTCACAGTGGGAGGGGTGACTGAACAGCTTCTGCACAACAAAAGAGAGATGGAGACACAGTAATGAAGGGAATCTCCATTCCCAAATGCTCTGAACTGCAGTGGAAATGGAGAGTACCAAGAGAGCAGGAACAGATTTGTCTGCCCTAGGACACAGAAAAAAAAGCCAAGTTTTAAAAGAGCAACTAGTAAAAGGTAAAAGATTTATACGATCTGAAGAGAAACCAGAATACGTCCAAAATCTATAAAGAACTTATCAAACTCAACACCCAAAGAACAAATAACCCAATCAAGAAATGGGCAGAAGGCATGAACAGATATTTCTCTAAAGGAGACACCCAAATGGCCAACAGACACATGAAAAAATGCTCAACTTCACTTGGCATCAGGGAAATACAAATCAAAACCATAATGAGATACCACTCACAACAGTCAGGATGGCTAAAATTAACAAGTCAAGAAATGACAGATGTTGGTGAGGATGCAGAGAAAAGGGGAACCCTCTTACACTGTCGGTGGGAATGCAAGCTAGTACAGCCATTCTGGAAAAACAGTATGAAGTTTCCTCAAAAAGTTGAAAATAGACCTAGCAATTGCACTACTGGGTATTTACCCCAAAGATACAAATGCAGTGATCTGAAGGAGCATCTGCACCCCAATATTTATAGCAGCAATGTCCACAATAGCCAAACTATGGAAACAGCCCAGATGTTCATCGACAGACGAATGGATAAAAAAGACATGGTGTATACACACACACACACACACACACACACAGACATGGTATGTGTATACACACACACACATACAATGGAATGTTACGCCGCCATCAAAAAATGAAATCTTGCCATTTGCAACAATGTGGATGGAACTAGAGGGTATTATGCTAAGCAAAATAAGTCAATCAGAGAAAGACAATTATCATATGATCTCATTCATATGTGGAATTTAAGAAACAAAACAGAGGATCATAGGGGAAGAGAGGAAACAATGAAACAAGATGAAACCAGAGAGGGAGACAAACCATAAGAGCCTCTTAATCATAGGAAACAAACTGAGGGTTACTGGAGGGGAGGAGTGTGGGGGGATGGGGTAACTGGGTGATGGACATTGGGGATGGTATCGTTATAATGAGCACTGGGTATAAGACTGATGAATCACAGAGCTGTACCCCTGAAACAAATAATACATTATATGTTAATTTTTAACTGTATTTAAATAAAAAAATATAGTATATAGTAGTATATAAAAGAACAAACCTTAGGAACCTGCCAAACTGCAAGGAGGTGCAGGAAATCTCTGCAGGTCAGAAGGGCTGGTGAGAACCATAGTTCATGCTCCCTCTCCACTGTGGCAATGTGAGTGGGGGGAGCAGGGTCTGGGCACCTTAACCAGCCTACCACATCAGTGAGCCCAAGGCACCTAGCCCCCACTAGCCCCAGCAATCTCACCAAGGAGGATCCAGGGAGGGATACACCAAGACACCCCTGGATTGTACTCACCACAGCTCCAGATGTTGCATCAAGGTGACACAGGTGTGAAGCATCCCTGAACACTCCAGGTCCATACCACTTTTGCCTCAGACAGCTTGCTAGGGCACCCCCAGAGTGTTCTGGGACCTCCTGGCTGTTGCCTGTTTTGGCCCCAGCTGTCCCACCAGGATGCCCCCTGTACAGAGCACAGCCCCCCCCCCCAACCCTGTCCCATTATCCCACAAGGGCAGCCCCCGTGCAGTATACCCAGGGACCCCCAGCTTGTACCCACTCCACCTTCAGTTGTCCTACCAGGGCACCCTCAGTGTGGAATGCTCTTAAAACACCCTGGCTTATACCCATTTCCACTTAAGCTGTCCTCTAGGATGTCTTCTACATGGAAAGCCCAGGAACCTCCCAGCTTATACCCACTTAGTATGTGCCTAGTATGTGCTTGGACACCCTGGCCTGTTCTGGCCTGGGCTTGTTGCCCCATCAGGCCACCCTCTGCAATGAACACCCCAGGACACTCCAACTTGCACTGACTTCAGCTTCAGCTGTTCTGCCAGGGCACCCTCTGCATATAGAGCCCCAGGGGCCTCCAAATCTGCACCCAGTTCAATTTTAGCTGTCCTACCAGGATGTTCACTGCACAAAGAGCCCTGGGACTCCCCTACTTGTACCCACTTCAGCTCCAGCCATCTCACCAGGTCAGCCACAGCATGGAATGCCCTGCAACCCCCAACCTACACCAGCTGCAGCTCCAGCCAGACAGAAGAAGTTGCCAAGTATACACAGGGGGGACCATACACAAGACCATTTCTTCAAATTTAGGAGAAGTAGCTGTTCCACCTATTCATAGAAACAAACATGAAAGTCAGGAAAAATGGGGAGACAGGAATACATTCCAAAACAAAGAATGAGACAAAACCTCCAAAAAACAACTAAATGAAAAGGAGATAAACAATATGCTTAATAAAGAGTTTAAAGCAATGATCATAAAGATGCTCACTTTGCTGGAGAAAAGAGTAAAAGAACTCAGTAGGCATTAAACAAAGAGATAGAAAATATAAAAAAAAAAGAATAAGAGATGAAGAATACAATAACTGAAGTGACGGGGAAAAAAACACTAGAGGAAATCAACAGATTAGTGGATGCAGAAGAATGGATCAGTGATCTGGAATATAGGGTAATGGAAGGCACCCAAACTGAACAGAAAAAAAAAAAAAATCAGGATAAGTTAAGAGATCTCTTAGACAACATCAAGCAAACAAACATTCACATTATAGGAGTTCCAGAAGGAGAAGAGAGAGAAAGGGGCAGAAAACTCATTTGAAGACATAATAGCTTAAAAACTTCACTAATCTGGGAAAAGAAACAGATCTCCAGGTTTAGGAAGCACAGAGAGTTCAAAACAAGATGAATCCATGACACATAATTATTAAAATGTCAAAGGTTAAAGATAAAGAGAGAATTGTAAAACTAGCAAGAAAGAAGCAAAAAGGTACGTACAAGGGAAACCCCATAAAGCTATCAGCCAGTTTTTCAGCAGAAACTTTGCAGGCCAGAAGGGAGTGGCATTATATATTCAAAGTGTTGAAAGGAAAAAACCTACAACCAAGAATACTCTACCTGCCAAAGTTATCATTCAGAATAAAAGGAGAAAGAGTTTCCCAGACAAAGAAAAATTAAAATTTATCATCACTAAATTGACCTTACAAAAATGTGAAAGGGATTTAAGTAGAAAAAAAGGCCATAATTAGAAGAAAATTATTAATTAAAAGATGCAAAATATGATAACATATACACAAAATATAAAAGGTACAGCATGGGGAATATAGTCAATGGTAATGTAATAGTGTTGTAAGGTGACAGGTGGTAGCTGCACTTGTGGTGAGCATAACATAACGTATAGACTTGTTGAATCACTGTGTTGTGCACCGGAAACTGATGTAACATTGTGTGTCAGCTATACTGAAATAATAAAAATTTCTTCAAAAAACAGGTGGAAAAAAAACAGAATAGGGAAAAAGAACTCACAGTGGATCTCAATGGTCTAGAATTAAATTGAAACATCTTGGCTGGCATTTAAGGAGCCCAAGTGTTGGTCACAGATTTCTGCCTCATCTCTCCTACACACTGCATCCCTCTGTCTCAACATTCCATTCTTCATTTTCTGAAAACACCAGAAATTCCTACAATTCTGCCTTCCCTCCAGATGTTATTCCAGCTCTTATTACCTTCCTCTCCTTTCTCATCCTCTCAAAATCCTTCTCGTTTTTTAAGTACTAAAAGTCCCCTCTATCTAATCATCTTTGATCCCCTCTTACCCCTCTATCAAACTTATATTTGTTTCACTTCAAGCCCTAAAATTATTTTCTTTGCACTGTGATTTTAATATCTGTTCACTACTGCCTTCTAATACAGTCAGCTGCTTCCTACCAGCTTATAAGCTCACTAGAGTCAGGGTAAATATCTTATTCTTCTTTGTATTTCATCAGCACTTTTATACAATGGAATATTACTCAGCCATAAAAAGAATGAAATCTTTACCATTTGAAATGATGTGGATGGAGCTAGAGTGTATTATACTAAGTGAAGTCAGTTAGAGAAAGACAAATACCATATGATTTCATTCATATATAAGGCTTAAGAAACAAAACACATGATCATAGGGGGAAAGAAGAGAGTGGCAAACAAAGAAACAGACCCTTTTTTTTTTTTTCCCCCCCAGAGAGGGCGTGCAGGGCAGAGGGAATGGGAGAGAGAATCTTAAGCAAGCTCCACACCCAGCATGGAGCCTGGCACGGGGCTCCATCTCACAACCCTGAGATCATGACCTGAGCTGAAATCAAGAGTTGGATGCCTAACTGACTGAGCCACCTGGGCACCAAGAAACAAACTCTTAACTATAGAGACCAAACTGATGGTGACCAGAGGGGAGGAGATGGGGGATGGGTTATATAGGTGATGGGGATTAAGGAGAGTACTTGTGATGAGCACCAGGTGATGTATGAAAGTGTTGAATTACTATATTGTACACCTGAAACTAATATTACACTGCATGTTAACTGGAATTTAAATAAAAACTTGAAAAAAAAAAAGATATTTTATATTCTAAGAAAAAACATATTAGAAGATAATGCTTCAAGAATATCTCATACCAGAATCTTAGATTTGACACTTGAGAAATGAAAATACTTTATGCGCATGTCTTTGATTTCATAGGAAACTACATCACGATTTTCCTCTTCCTCCTTTATGGTTGGAAATGGAGTTTCAAGAACATAGTCGTTCTCACAGATAATCAGTAAAGTACTCTCAGGCTGAAAAAGAAAGATTAACATATCATTCACATTTAGGCAAATGTATAGAAGCATAGTTCAAAAACATCATAAATCAGGAAAAATATAATTATGTGTACTAACCATTTTTGAAATCCTTAATTCCTCACTGTAGTAATAAGTCATCTTATTAATCACTATACACAATTATTACCTATTATATCATTAATAAGCTAAGTGTTAAAATTAGATTTAGATTGGTTTCCCTTATAGATGCCATAACACAGTTTCTGAGCCAAAAAATGCAGCTGTGAAATATATTAGCCCAAAGAGCAGAATATTAAAATTAGGACTGCCAAGGAAAACCTGCAGTGTGTGGATGGCATATCCAGTCTCAGCAGCCTTTGGTGGATCATTCTCTATCTGCCCGAGTTCATTAAATGTGGATGTTCCTCAGGTTTTTGCCCTCTTCCCTCTTCTCTCGCTCCACATAAACATTCCCTGGGAAATATTATAGCCAACCTAAGGCTTCATTACCACTCATGCACAATTAGATTCCAAATTGATTCATCTCTCTAGGCCAGACCACTCTCTTGATCTCCAAAAATCACATATTTAACCATGTCTGGGCAGTCTCCATCTTGATATTCTATAGACACATTATTCAAAATGTTTCTTCACTCAGTCATTTCATTCTGTAATTATTTATTATGTATCTACTATGTATTTGGCATTTTGTGGCATGCTAGGGGTAAAACTGTAAAAGAAAAATACAGCGCCTGGCACTATAGAGCTTACCTCCAAGAGAGCCTGTCATTTAACAAATCATATAAATAAGTGCAAATTATAACTGTGACAAATGCTTCAGAGGTGCTACAAGAGCAAAGGAGGCTGTGCAAGTTTCCTGAGAAGGTGGTATCTAAGCTTCAAGGTGAAGGGGGAGCAGAAGATAATTACACAATAGTTAGGGGAAGGTTTGAGGGAGTATGCTATACATGCAAATACCATGTGCAAATATCCTGTGGCATGTTTGGGCTTATAAGGAAGTTATGGGCTTGGATGGTAACACCCAGGTCAAGAGAACAGAGTGAGAAGAGAGACTGGGACAGAGCCTTAGGGAAACAATATTCAGTAACTGGGTGAGGAAGGCTGAAAAGGAACGGTAAGATGTAGAAGAGGGAACCAGGAGAGCATAATATCACAAAAGTCAAAGGGAGATGGTATTTCAAAGAGAAAGTAAGGGTCAACAGGATCAAAGGAGGTAAGAAGTCAAGAAAGATAAGAACTGAAAATGTTAAGGGGACATCACTGGTTTCTTTACAGGAGCTGACGTGGTAGAATGATGAGACTAGAAACTAGTTAAGAGCCCAGAGGAATAATCAATCCTCTTGGAAAAGTCAGGAGGAGAAAGATGGGGAAGTAACTAGAGGAGAACAGAAGGTCAAGGAATTTATTTTTTGTTCATAGGAGATACTTGAACATCTTTAAATACCAATGGAAATGATCCAGTAAACAGATGAGGTTAAATTTATGACAGAAAAAAGAAAATAAGTAGTATTAAATCTTGAAAAAAGTAGAAGAGAGTATAATCCAAAGGAGGAGGCAGAACTGGCCTCACATGGGAAGGGAGAGGGCATTCTCTATTATAAAAAAGGGAAGAAGGCAGGTGGATGCAGAGGTAATAGGATTTTATGTTGGGTAGTGGGAAGGTGAAGGATTCTTTTCCTCCTAAGGACAAATTGCCAACAGTTTGCATGAGACCTAGAAGCCAAACAGAAGGCTGTGTCCTAGAGCTTTAGGCATTCTTGAGGAGAGAAGACAAAAGCTGAAGTTCAAAGCTACAAAAACAATTAGGTATTGAGGGGACATGATCTCAGAGAAAAGGGAAATGCAGAAAAGTGAGCCTGACATTCTGCTAGGCCTTTGCCTTAAAGCATTTACATAACTCTAAAATGTGTGGGAACAGGGTTTGTTCATTTCCTCCAAATGGTCCCTTTCACTTCATTTTCATTTATTTGTATGCTACTTTTATGTATAGTATTATGCTTTTATCTAGGATATCAAAGAGGAAGCAGGGATATTTAGAATGCATAATGAAAAAAGTTTGGTGAACCAATGAAGGGCAGGGTAGTTAGAAGTAGGGAAGAGACTGGAATATTCTCAAGATTTTCTGGTTATAGCAACAGAGAGAACAGTGGTCCCAGAATAATGCAGGCAAAAGAACATGTCTTAGAGAAGCTCATGTGTTTCATTTAAACAGCTCAAAATTATCCCCAGAAATTCAAAAGACCACCAAATTCTGTTAATTCTACCTCCTACATAGCTCTTGTCCACAGTCTTTCATACCCTGGTCACATGTCTGGAACATAGCTGCCCAATAGATCCAATGCCTCTCATCTGCCTTCCCTGTAACTTCACACTGCTGCCCAAAGTGATCATGGTAGTGACTGTGGCAGGCAGAATGATTCTGTATGCACATGTGGTACACCCTTAGTGGAAACACAGATTATAAGGACAGAAGTTTAATGTATTCAGGAAGACAGGAGGTCTGATCATTGAGAACTGGCAGAAGTTAACAGTTATGGCTAGTTGGACAACTGAAGTATGCAGCATATCAGTTACACATGGTAATTTACCTTTTTTCTCCATCTTTATTGAACTATAACACTGTGTAAGTTAAAGTGTACTATGTGATGGTTTGATAATGCATACATTGTGAAATGAGGGCAATTTACTTTGACATTAGTAATTCCTAACTATAAGAAATATAAGCACTAATTGGCAGCACTGCCTGAAATAACTTTTGAATTATGTTGGGGGTTTTGGTCTCTTATGCCTATTTAGCTTATTTTGAAATAACTATTGATTCACAAGAAGTTGCCAAGATAGTATAGAAAGGAATCATGTATCCTTCACCCAGTTTCTCCCACGGGTTACCTCTTATGCAACAATATCAAAACCAGGAAATTGACATTAATATAGAACATGTGTATAATTCTATGTCATTTTACCACATGTGTAGATTCATGGAACCATTCACTGTAATCAGGATGCAAAACTATCCCATCACCATAAGGATCTTCCTCAAGATGCCCCTTCATAGTCACACCCACCGCCTTCCCACCCCCCATTTCTAACTTTTTTGGGTTTTTTACTTTGAATCTAGAGAAATGATTAAAGGATGCACATAATATCACCTGTTGTGTTCATGCTTTAACACACAGGTCCCTTTGAAGCTTTCATTTCCTTATCCTAAATCACCTGCACTTACCTTCTCTCCAACTACACATATCCTACCATTTCCTCAAGATTAAGGTAAAATAATACAAAATAACAACTTATGTTAACTTATCCCCTTCTTGATATTTCCCTGCTCTATATTCATAGTACATACTGTCTATCCTACTGAGATTTTAGTCACCAATTCCCTTGTGAAAACTTGTATTGTTCTGTGATAGTTATTTAACTTCTAAAATATGTACATTTTTTTCTCTTTCAGAAGAGATTGTCTTGTACTGCTTATTGAATCCATCAGTGCCTAGCAAAGATGAAAACAATGAGTATTTTTTTAAATGTTTTTCTATATACTATATTGTTATAGCACTTTTCTTTAGAAGAGTTCAAAGTAGATAATAGATGTTACTTCCATACAGTTCAATCAGTATTACCCTAGAACCCAGGACAGCACCTGGTTTAGACATTAAATCAACATTCAGATGATGGAGTTATCCTATGCTTAAACTTAGGGAAATTAGAGGCATTAAATAAGATCAGTAACCAATACTGAATCACCAGCTGTTGTTAGGAAAGAGTCAGTGGAAGATTCAAAGAGAAAAATCGAGGTGGAATGGGGGTAGAAGCAAAGAGATAAAGATGAGGGCAAGGACATTCAGACCTTAGATAGAACTGAACTTCCGAATGTCAAAAGGACTGATAGACCCAAGTCAACACATTCTGACACATGTATCTCAATAAAGTCACCAGGTTAAAGCAAAGCCTGATATAACCCAATGTTTTTGGGAAGGGAATCATGACCAACGATTTAGAGAATGGAAGAGAGAGGAGGTAACAGTGTGATGTGGGGCTCCCCAGTGATGCTCTATTAGCCAAGCATCCTCAGCCCCTCACTGCAGGACCCAGGAGGGGTGCTAATAATTCCACCTGCTATTCTCGATCTTCCAGATCACTTCATTATGCTGTAATTGAGATTTAAACATGAAGACAAATATAATTACTTACATGGGAGTTCGAAGACCATATTAACTGGCGAACAGGTCCAGGAGTAGTAATATATCCTATTGGCTTATAATCTTTTTCTACCTCAAAGAAGAAGACGGTCTGATCTTTACTCTAAGAAAAAGAGAAATACCCAACAAATATGGGGTTTTTTTTTAATCTTTTCCATAGAGTACAGAGTAGCACTTACTAGGTATAGTATACCCACTGTATATCTATATCCACAATAATCATATATCCCAGATTTTTCTGGGAAAATTCTTATTTCAAATATTTGCTTCATTTCCCCCATGAGAACAACTGACAAACCAAGTGTTCCAGAATATGTTTCCGAAAGAAATGATCACCATACCTGTACATTGGTTAACTCACAAAAAATTCCACAAAGCATATGCTCACTTATTAATGCATTAAAAAATGTACAAGGTTATTCTCTTCACTTATGGCAATCCTATATAAGAACATACCTATGTGATAAAATATTGGTTATACATAAAACATGATCATAACTCCCAGTTGAAAATTTCTATTCATTTAAAATAAACATTAGAACTCAATTTGTAAGAAAATTTTGAAATGTCATGCACAGACTATACTGAAAGAATATGAACATAGAGAAACAAACTATGGGTTTTTCTTTAAAATGTACATCAGCAAATACGTTATCATCGGGTAGGAAAATGAATAAGTTTAACCATGAAAGCTCAATAGGAAACAAAAGGAAATCTACCACTTACCCCTGTAGCTAGAATTTCTCCATCACGTTCATAAGCTAAAGCAGTGACACGAGCAGTATGGGGTTTGAAAACCTGTTTCAAATTAATATCTGCATCAGAAATTTTCTTCCGTCCTGCAAAAACTGTAAGCCCTTTGGGATCGTAAAGTTCAAGAATTCGAACCACCCCATCTTCAAATCCTACAATAATCTGTGCTCCAGTGTAGCTTACCTTAGAAAAAAATTAAATGCAACAAATCTGAAATTAGTTAAGAAAGTTGTACTACATAACATAACTCTGTATTTTATTTAGCCAAGTAATTTTTTTTATTATGTTCAGTTAGCCAGTGTATAGTACATCATTAGTTTTTGATGTACTGTTCAATGATTCATTAGTTAGCCAAGTAATTTAACATTGACTGCTCATTGGTAATTCCTTATACCACTTTCTGGTAACCTCCATCTATTCTAGGATAGTTCCTTATCACTGCTGATGATGAGACAGGTAAGCAATGGCAATTCAAACACTGAAGAAGCAAACACTGGTGTAGTGGAAAGCCATTGAAAGGTTTTTAGTTGGGAGTTTGTGTACATGTGTGCTCGCGTGCACGCACGCATGCACGCGTGCATGTGTGTGTGGAAAGAGAGGGTGATATGATCAGATTTGCTATTTCGGAAAAATCATCTTAGCTGCATTGTGCAAAACAGAACTGAGATGGCCTAGAGAGGGTGCAGGGAGACCTTTGTGGAGACTTTTAAAGACATGGCTGCCTTACTCCAGGAGAGTGACTGTGGTCAATTAGTCTGAGGTGGTATCATGGACAGGAGGGATACAGGCATAGTTTAGAGAGAGTGATAATGGCCCTGTTTGGTCATGACTGAATAAAGGGGAGAAGGGCAGAGGGAGGTGTCAAGGATGACTGAGACATTTATGGAGATAGGAAACTGTGAAAGGGAGCCAAGTGTCTGTGTGGTTTGTTGTTGCTATTATCATTATGGAGGGGGACTGGTTGGAGGCCAGCAGAGTATCATGAATCTAGTCTTAGGTTGGGTTTGAGGGTCCCTGGAGATCTCAAAATGAGGATGACACATAGTCTGCAGCTCAGAGGAGAAGTCTGGGCTAGAGAAAGAAATCTAGCAGTGTCCAAATATACTAAATCTGCTGTCTTGGGAGGCATTCAGGAGAAAGGCAAGAGCCCTGATATTCTTTAGAGCAGAGTGATCATCGCTAAGGCAAGGTAGTTATGAGAGTCTTGGTAATAAAAAAACTGTACCCCATCCAACTCCAGTTGAAGGTTGTTCATTCAATAAATATTTGTTATGTGTCTAAATGTACTGTAGAGGCACTAGAGGCTCAAAGAAAAATAAAGTGTAGTTGTCACCCATGAAAAACTGTTATGAAGCAGAAGCCACATGAAGAGGCTATTAGGTAGGCACTCCTATTGACATCCGAGCTTAGCCCAGCCTTCAACCCAGGTGCCAGACTGATGATAAAGAAGCCTTTACATGATTCCAGGCCCCAGATATGAAGCAGAGACAATCCACTGCTGTTGTCACCTGTCTGATTTCCCAATCCAGAGAGCATATGAGCAAAATAAAATGACTGCTGTTTTATGCCACTACATTTTGTAGTAGTTCATTACATAGCAATGGATAACTAGGACAACTCCCTATCTCTGCCTAATTTTTTTTCCATAGGTCTTATCATTACCTAACATATCACATATGTTACTTATTTTTCTTTATTGTCCATTCTGCCTCCTCCCACTAAAGTGTAAGATGCATGAGGGCAAGTATTTTTGTCTTTCTGCTCATCACCATATTCCCAGAAGCTAGAACAAGACCCAGCACATTGCAGGCATGCTGGAAATATAAATAGAAGGAATGAAATCACATTCAGATAGAGGATAGATACACATAGTTGAGTAATTATTTTGTAACATGAAATGATTACTAACTTGCAAGTGGCATAAAAAATAGATTTTTATTAAAACAGGACCAAAACCACAAAAGCAAGGTCATATGATTTCTATCACATTCTGAGTGAATAAACTAAGTTAAAATTTTTATTCTTCTCTAAAATCCAGAGTCATAAAATATATTTCTAAGAAATAGCACTGATAGACCATATTTACCAATAGATTCCAGTAGAAGTTCATTATCATTAACTCACCAGTTGGGGTACCCAAGCAAGGGCAGTACCTCCTTGTTTGAATTTCATCTGAGCCAAAGGAGTTTTGCTAGCAAAATCATAGATTCGAACAGAGCCTACAGAAAGACAGTTTTAAAAGAAACAAGTTAGATATATGGCATCTTTTAAAATAACCTTAGTTCGCTTAACATGTTGAGCATTATAACAAGAAATTTCATACATAAACTAATAATCTAATAGGTTTTCTTTAGTCAAAAATTTACATGTATACCCTCAACCAGGTAATTTGTAGACATGGATAATAAAGCAAACAACTGATGATTGACTGATGGATTAATTTCACCTTGCATAGCCCACAAAAGATTCACCGTGGTTCAAGGAAGAAAGAAGGTGAAAAAATAAAATAGGAAAAGCATGAATGTGGATAATACCAAAATGAATGGCATTTTTGTAACTGACCGTATCCTTAATCTTTCACCATAACCAAGGCTGCTGTACTTTAGTTCCTCTCCCCTCCACAAAAACTCACCTCGCTTATATCAAGAGGCTTACCTTTTGGAAAAGTTCTCAAATGCTTTTCATCAAACACATAAAATTTTGTGTGGAAAACAAAACAAAAAAGACCAGATGTATTTTCATTTAGAGTTCCTACTCACAATCCAAGGCAGTAGTGGCCATGAGGTAAGTGAGGGGAGAGACTGCCAAGGCTTCGACAGCTCCAGAATGGAAGGAGAAGAGGCAGTCTGGATCTTGAGTCTGATAATAAAAAGAAATCCTGTTAGATCTTAAAGATAAGTTAACATCAAATTAAGGTCAAGTTTTTAAAAAAATATAAATAGAACCCTATAACACATGTATGATTTTATCTGAATAGAAATTTTTAAAAGTATAATATGTTGGGGCGCCTGGGTGTATCAGTCAGTTAAGCATCTGACTCTTAGTTTCTGCTCAGATCATAATCTCAGGGTGGTGAGATCAAGCCCCATGTCAGGCTCCGTGCTCAGCGGGGAATCTACTTGAGATTCTCTCTCTACCTCTCCCCACTACCACTCCCCCCATCTTTAAAATAATATAGATCTTTAAAAAAAAACAAAAGCATAAAAGGCTAGAAAGAGTGCTGGACTTTGGAATTAGGAGAAACAGTACTGGCTTTGCACTTGAAGGTTTTCCTTTTCTTCACCAGTAAAATGAGGTGATGGCAACTGTCAGGGTAGCCATAAGGGTTGCAGGAGATAATATAAATGAAAATACCATAAGTTTATGACAACTGTAAAGCACTGGATAACATTAGGCACAGTCACTGCCACTTTTCTGGTAAATTTTGCTGAGATATCTCCTTTTTTTGTAAAATCAGAGAGAGAGAGAATAAATTCCCAGGACTAGGACATGTTGGACAAGTTTTTGATGGGAACAATGAACAAGTATGGAGAAAGATAAAGTATCTTTTAAAGAAGAATAACAGACTTTTGTTATAAAAATTATGGAAAAAAAGAAAAATAGACAACTTACAATATTTGAAAAACTAAGGTCAAGCTTCCATATGGCTCCACTGGCATCCTAAAAAATTAAATACCTGATAATAGTTTATCATTCTTAACTTTTATCAAATGAAAAGAATTTTCTTCCTGTGATCTAGTTAAAGTAAAGGACAAACAGTAATACCAAAAGCTTACATGTGTTTTAAAGTATGATTGAAATTTAACAAAAGCAACTTCTATATATCTTAGAACACACAATAAATGAAACATTTTCATAATACATATAGTCAGTTTAATAAAGCTAATTGGTTTTTTGCATATAAAATACAGGTCAACTAAATACCAAAATTCAGGTAGTCTTCCTTGACCTATCAATAGTACTCTTAATAGTAAAATGAACTTACAGGGACAATAAATTATGTTACTATTTTAATTTTATGTCTAGGTAACTTTAAAGAGCCAAGAGAGAACACAATTTACCTGAGCCAACCAAAAGTTACTTCCAATCTCGTTCATTTTTATCATAGAGAAGAGTTTGACTTTCTTGCCAACTTGAAGTTCATTAATGGGCTCGATCTCTAACAATCCAGTCTCATCAATAGAATCAGCAGTGTCTACTGTCTCAAAATCCCAGATCTTATAAAATAAGAAAATACTTTAATCAATCAGCAGTTACTGAATTTATATTTTCTATAAGAAAAGGCCCTGATTGATGGCAGAGGAGTAGGAGACCTTAGTTTCGTCTGGTTGCAGGAATTCAGCTAGATAGCTATCAGATCATTCTGAACATCTGTGAATTCAACAGATCTAAGAAAAGAATAGCTACAACTCTACAAATAGAAGAGCGACCACTTTCTGCAAGGTAGGAGGTGTGGAGAAGCAAATCCAAGGTGATGTATGGGAGGATAGACCATAGGGTGGGAGGAGGGATCCTCCATAAGCTGGCTAGCAGAAAGTGATATAGCAGCAGAGCACAAAATCAGAACTTTTATTTATTTATTTTTTTTAAGATTTATTTATTTATTTATTTATTTATTTATTCATGAGAGACAGAGAGAGAGAGGCAGAGGGAGAAGCAGGCTCCCAAGGAGCAGAGAGCCCAACGCGGGGCTCAATCCCAGGACCCTGGGATCATGACCTGAGCCAAAGGCAGACGCTTAACCATCTGAGCCACCCAGGCGCCCAAAATCAGAACTTTTAGAAGTCTGATCCAGTGAGGGACTCCCTGCCTGAAAGGTGATCAGGTGGTGAAGCAGGCAGAGTCTTAGGTGGGACAGTGTGGTCTCAGAATCCCCAGGGTCACAGGAAGACCTGCGGTGCTGGAGTGCAGCAGAGTTCCCAGGCATTGGAAGGGGGAAGCCAGCTGCTATCAGCAAGCCCAGGAGAGGGCTCTCAGCTCGGGGTTGCCATAAACCATGAACTGTGGCACAGCTGGGCCACTGCTTTCTCAGTAGAGGCCCAACAAGCGGCAGAACCGGGGAGACCCCCCCCTTCCTCCCCTCAGAGGAGCAGCACGGGAGCATGCCAGAGGAGTCTGCAGGGTTTGGAGACTCAAACCGGGGTCGCATGCCTGAGATAGAAATGCTCGGTCACAGGCTGGGTGACCACGGAGTGTGGATGGAGACCAGGGAGACAGGAGTGATGGACTGCTTTTCTCTGGGCTCACTGAGGAGTGGGGCCTGAGCTCTCAGCTCTGGAGCTGGAGACTGGGAAGCCACCATGTTCATTCTCATCCTCTAAAGCTGCGTGGAAAGCCTTCAGGGAACAAAAGCCACACAGAGCAATCCAGAGGAGCTACTTACTTAACCTGGCCCCCTGCCAAGGGTGGTGCAATTCAGGCTGGGGCAAAGACACCCAAGAATCAGCAAAACAGGCCCCTCCCCCAGAAGATCAGCAAGAATATCCAGTTAAGACCAAGTTTACTAATCACAGGGAAATGCAAAATTCCGGTGCTAGGGGAAAATAGTATATAGAATTCATGTTTTTTTTCCCCATGATTCTTTAGTCTTTCAATTTTAATTTTTTTCCTCTTTCCCCTTTCAACCAATTTCTTATTTTATCAACTCTTTTAAAAATCCTTTTTAACTTTCATTTTTACAGTAACATTCTATCCTTTAATTGCATTTAATTTTATTTGTGTGTGTGTGTGTGTGTGTGTATAAGTTTTTCTTTCTTTACAATTTTGGGATGCAGTTTCTTCTAACAAACAGACCAAAACACACCCAGAATCTAGTGCATGGCTCTGTTCTCTTCACCTGCCTGATCATATTCTTTTTTTTTCTTTTTATTAATCTTTTTCTTTTTGTTAGTCTTTTTTAATTTTCATCTTTACAGTTACATTCCAACCTTTCAATGTATTTAATTTTATTATTTTTGTATTATATGTTTTTCTTCCTTTAAATTTTGAGATATAGTTTCTTCTAACAGACCAATATGCACCCAAAATCTAGTGTATGGCTCTGTTCTATTCACTAGCCTGATCATATACCCCCTCCCCCCATCTCAGGTCTCTTCTGATTTGTTTAGTGTATATTTCTCTGGGGCCATTGTTGCCCTTTAAGTATTTTGTTCTTTCATTCATCTATTCTTCTCTGGACAAAATGACAAGATGGAAAAACTCACTTCAAAAAAGAGAACAAGAGGCAGTACTGACTGCCAGGGACCTAATCAATATGGACATTAGTAAGATGTCGGAACTAGAGTTCAGAAAGATTATAAAGATACTAGCTGGGCTTGAAAAAAGCATAGGAGACACTAGAGAATCCCTTTCTGGAGAAATAAAAGAACTAAAATCTAACCAAGTCAAAATCAAAAAAGCTATTAATGAGATGCAATCAAAAATGGAGGCTCCAACTGCTAGGAAAAAATGAGGCAGAAGAGAGAATTAGTGATATAGAAGACAAAATGATGGAGAATAAAGAAGCTAAGAAAAAGATAAACAGCTACTGGATCATGAGGGGAGAATTCGAGAGATAAGGGATACCATAAAGCAAAACAATATTAAAATAATTGGGTTCCCAGAAGAAGAGGAAAGAGAGAGAGGCAGAAGGTATATTGGAGCAAATTATAATGGAGAACTTCCCTAATCTGGGGAAGGAAACAGGCATTCAAGTCCAGGAGGCACAAAGTCCAGGAGGCACTCAAAAAAAAAAAAAAAAAAAAAAGTCAATAAAAATAGGTCAACACCTCAACATACAATAGTAAAACTTGCAAATCTTAGAGACAAAGAGAAAATCCTAAAAGGAGCTTGGGACAAGAAGTCCATAACCTACAAGGGTAGAGATATTAGACTGGCAGCAGACCTATCCACAGAGACCTGGCAGGCCAGAAAGGACTGGCATGATATATTCAGGGTGCTAAATGAGAAAAATATGCAACCAAGAATATTTTATCCAGCTAGGATGTCATTCAAAATAGGAGGAGAGATTAAAAAGCTTTCAGGACAAACAGAAACTAAAAGAATTTGTGATCACTAAACCAGTCATGCAAGAAATATTAAAAGGGATCCTTTAAGTGAAGAGAGCCCAAAAGTCACATAGATCAGAAAGGAACAGAGACAGCATACAGAAACAGTGACTTTACAGGTAATACAATGGCACTAAATTCATATCTTTCAATAGTTACTCTGAATGTAAATGCACTAATTGTCCCAATGAAAAGACATAGGGTATCAGATTGGATAAAAAACCAAGCCTCATTGATAAGCTGTCTTGAAGAGACTCACTTTAGACCCAAAGACACCTCCAGATTTAAAGTGAATGGGCAGAAAACTATTTATCATGCTATTGGGTATCAAAAGAAAGCTGGGGTGACAATCCATATATCAGACAAATTAGATTTTAAACCAAAGACTGTAAAAAGAGATGAGGAAGGACACTATATCATAATTAAAGAGTCTATCCAACAAGAATATCCAACAATTGTAAATATTTATGCCCTTAACATGGGTGCAGCCAATTATATAAGCCAATTACTAACAAAAATTAAAGAAACACATCAATAATAATACAATAATAGTAAGGGACTTTACACCCCACTCACTGCAATGGACAGATCATCTAAGCAGAAGATCAACAAGGAAACAAGGGCTTTGAATGACACACTGGACCAGATGGACTTCACAGGTATATTCAGAGCATTCCATCCTAAAGCAACATAATACACATTCTTCTCAAGTAGTCATGGAACATTCTCCAGAACAGATCACACACTGGGTCACAAATCAGGTCTCAACTAGTACCAAAAGACTGGGATCATTCCTTGCCTATTTGTGGACCACAATGCTTTGAAACTGGAACTCAATCACAAGAGGAAATTTGGAAAGAACTCAAATACATGGAGGCTAAAGAGCATCCTACTAAAAAATGAATGGGTCAACCAGGAAATGAAAGAAGAATTTAGGGACACCTGGGTGGCTCAGGAAGTTGGGCGTCTGCCTTCAGCTTAGGTCATGGTCCCAGGGTCCTGGGATCGAGCCCCACATCAGACTCCCTGCTCAGTGAGGAGCCTGCTTCTCACTCTCTACCCTGCTCTTGCTCTCATGCGCTCTCTCTCTCTCTCTCACTGTCAAAATAAATAAAAATCTAAAAAAAAAAAAAAGAAGAAGAATTTTAAAAATTCATGGAAACAAATGAAAATGAAAATACAAGTGTTCAAAATCTTTGGGATGCAGCAAAGGCAGTCCTAAGAGGAAAGTATATAGCAATATAAACCTTTCTCAAGAAATAAGAAAGGTCTCAAATATATAACCTAACTTTACATCTAAAGGAGCTGGAGAAAGAACAGCAAATAAAACCTAAACCCAGCAGGAGAAGAGAATTAATAAAGATTAGAGGAGAAATCAATGAAATATAAACCAAGAGAACAACAGAACAGATCAATGATACTAGGAGCTCGTTCTTTGAATTAATAAAACATATAAACCCCTGGCCAGACTTATCAGAAATAAAAGAGAAAGGACCAAAATAAATAAAATCATGAATGAAAAAGGAGAGATCACAACCAACACCGAAGAAATACAAACAATCATAAGAACATATTATGAGCAACCATATGCCAACAAATTAGGCAATCTGGAAGAAATGGATGCGTTCCTAGAGCCATATAAACTACCAAAACTGAAACAGGAAGAAATAGAAAACCTGAACAGACCCACAACCAGCAAGGAAATTGAAGTAGTAATCAAAAATCTCCCAACAAATAAGAGTCCAGGGCCAGATGGCTTCCCAGGGACATTCCACAAAATATTTAAAGAATTAATACCTAGGGTGCCTGGGTGGCTCAGTCGTTAAGCATCTGCCTTCGGCTCAGGTCATGATCTCAGGGTCCTGGGATCGATTCCCACATTGGGTTCCCTGCTTGGCAGGAAGCCTGCTTCTCCCTCTCCCACTCCCCCTGCTTGTGTTCCTGCTCTCGCTATCTCTGTCTCTGTCAAATAAATAAAATCTTTAAAAAAAAAAAAAAAAGAATTAATACCTATTCTTCTGAAGCAGTTTCAAAAAAACAGAAATGGAAGGAAAACTTCCAAACTCTTTCTATGAGGCCAGCATTACCTTGATCCCCAAACCAAAGACTCCACCAAAAGGGAATTACAGACCAGTATCCCTGATGAACATGGATGTCAAAATTCTCACCAAAGTACTAGCCAATAGAATCCAACAGTACATTAAAATTCACCACAAGCAAGTGGGATTTATCCCTGGGCTGCAAGGGTGGTTCAATACCTGCAAATCAATGTGATACACTACATTAGTAAAAGAAGAAGAAGAACCATATGATCTCTCAATAGATGCAGAAAAAGCATTTGACCAAGTACAGCATCCTTTCTTTTTTCTTTTAAAGGATTTATTTATTTGTCAGAGAGAGAGAGAGCATAAGCAGGGGGAGCAGGAGGCAGAGGAAGAAGCAGCCTCCCCCACTGAGCAGGGAGCCCAGTGCAGGACTCAATCCCAGGACTCTATGGTCACAACCTGAGCCAAAGACAGACACTTAACCGACTGAGCCACCCAGGCATCCCTAGAGCCTCCTTTCTTAAAACTCTTCACAGTGTGGGGTAGAGGGAACATACCTCAATATCATAAAAGCTATATACAAAAAGCCTACAGCAAATATCATTCTCAATTAGGAAAAACTGAGAGCTTTTCCCCCAAGGTCAGGAACATGGTAGGGATGTCCACTATCACTACTGCTGTTGAACATAGTACTAGAAGTCCTAGCCACAGCAATCAGACAACAAAAAGAAATAAAAAGCATCTGCATCAGCAAAGTAGTCAAATTTTCACTCTTTGCAGATGACATGATACTCTATTTGGAAAATCCAAAAGACTCCACCCCAAAATTGCTAGAACTCATACAAGAATTCAGCAAAGTGGCAGGATATAAAATCAATGCACAGAAATCAGTGGCATTTCTATACACAAACAATGAGACAGAAGAAAGAGAAAGATTCCATTTACAATTGCACCCAAAACCATAAGATACCTAGGAATAAACCTAACCAAAGAGGCAAAGGATTTGTATTCAAAAACCTATAGAACACTCGTGAAAGAAATTGAGGAAGACACAAAGAAATGGAAAAACGTTCCATGCTCATGGACTGGAAGAACAAATATTATGAAAATGTCTATGCTACCTAGAGCAATCTATATATTCAATGCAATCCCTATCAAAATACCATCAATATTTTTCACAGAGCTGGAACAAATAATCCTAAAATTTGTATGGAACCAGAAAAGACCCTGAATAGCCAAAGGAATGTTGAAAAAAGAAAAAAGAAAAAACCAAAGCTGGTGGTATCACAATTCCGGACTTCCAGCTCTATTACAAAGGTGTAATCATCAAGACAGTATGGTACTGGCACAAAAACAGACACACAGATCAATGTAACAGAATAGAGAACCCAGAAACGGACCCTCAACTCTATGGTTAACTAATCTTTGATAAAGCAGGAAAAAATATCCAGTGGAAAAAAGACAGTCTCTTCAACAAATGGTGTTGGAAAAATTGGACAGCCACCTGCAGAAGAATGAAAGTGGACCATTTCCTTACACCATACACAAAAATAGACTCAAAATGGATGAAAGACCTAAATGTGAGACAGGAATCCATCAAAATCCTAAAGGAGAACATAGGCAGCAACCTCTTTGCCCTTGGCCACAGCAACTTCTTGCTAGACACGTCTTCAAAGGCAAGGGAAACAAAGGCAAAAATGAACTATTGGGACTTCATCCAGATAAAAAGCTTTTGCACAGCAAAGGAAACAGTCAACAAAACAAAAAGACAACCTACAGAATGGGAAAAGATATTTACAAACGTCTTATCAGATAAAGGGCTAGTATCCAAGATCTATAAAGAACTTATCAAACTCAACACAAAGAATAATCCAATCAAGAAATGCGCAGAAGGCATGAATAGACATTTCTCCAAAGAATACTATAAATGGCCAAGACACATGAAAAAATGCTCAATGTCACTCAGCATTAGGGAAATACAAATCAAAACCACAATGAGATACTACCTCACACCAGTCAGAATGGCTAAAATTAACAAGTCAAGAAATGAAAGATGTTGGCGAGGATGCAGAGAAAGGGGAACCTTCATACACTGTTGGTGGGAAGGCAAGCTGGTGCAGCCACTCTGGAAAACAGTATGAAGGTTCCTCAAAAAGTTGAAAATAGACCTAGCAATTGCACTACTGGGTATTTACCCAAAGATACAAATGCAGTGATCTGAAGGGGCATCGGCACCCTAATGTTTATAGCAGCAATGTCCACAATGTCCACATCAATGTCCAAACTATGGAAGGAGCCCAGATGTCCATTGACAGATGAATGAATAAAGAATATGTAGTATATATATACAATGGAATACTACTCAGCCATCAAAAAAATGAAATCTTGCCATTTGCAATGATGTGGATAGAGCTAGAGGGTATTATGCTAAGCAAAATAAGTCAATCAGAGAAAGACATGTATCATATGATCTCACTCATATGTGGAATTTAAGAAACAAAACAGGATCATACGGGAAGAGAGAAAGAAAATAAAACAAGATGAAACCAGAGAGGGAAATAAATCATAAGAGACTCTTAATCATAGGAAACAACTTGAGGGTTGCTGGAGGGGAGGGGGGTCACGGGATGGGGTAGCTGGGTGATGGACATTAATGTGATGTGATGTAATGAACACTGGGTATTATATAAGACTGATGAATCACTGATCTCTACCTCTGAAATTAATAATACATTAGATGTTAATTGAATTGAATTAAAAATTTTAAAAATTGAGAAAAAAGAAAGAAAAGGCCCTGATTTTTTTTTCCAAAAGTCATTTCTTCTTGCTTCATGCAAATTAGCAAGTAGGTGTAATGAGAACACCAGCCAAAATGTGACCCCTGGAATATTGCTCCCAACTGGGGCATAATAAATTATCATAGTGTCTTCTGTATATATGGAGATTAGTGAGAGAATACAGCCTGAATAAGAATTCTAATTTGCCCAGTGTAAACTAAGGTATCTCTTAGGTCTTTCTGCATATAAAGTGGCCCTAAGGAGTAAATGTTCCCGTTATTCGGCGAGACATTATAATGAGCCCTGTTTTGAATTTACCAGTGGGCCCCTGGAAAGGGGAAATAGGCCTTTTAATGATTCAAGCACAATCTTCATTATGAGGAGAAAATGGATGTAGATGATGTCTTCACAAGAAAATGGTTCTCATTACTGATTTAGATTATACCATTCAGTTAAGGATTATTGTTCTGGGACAGGAGAGCAGAATGCTATAGAAGCATCAGGGAGCAGAGGTTCACCTCAGGAGGAAGAGAGATTGAGAAGGACTTCCTCTGCGAAGTACCAAAGCCTACCCTCAATGGATCTATTGACACACCCCACCCTGTTAACCTAGACTCAATAACTCAGCCTTTGGGGAAAGTAACTTTCAAAGAGGATTCATGTTGTCACCTAGGGCTAGCCTCATGGGGGAGAGGCCCAAATCCTAGGGTAGAACTAACTCCTGGGAGTTGGGGTAGGTTTTTCCCAAAGGGTTAGATGTAGAGATTTACTGTGTAAAAGACTAAAGAGATTAGGATGAAATTTTTAAAAGAAGCCAGTTTAGAAATTAGTGGTGTTCATGAAGGGACACTCTGTGAAGTATTTGACTTCTTTTCTCTTGAGGTTTCCTTCCAGTTGGTATTTTGACATTTTGGGTGACATATCTTGGAAGCATAGTGAATATACTATATGACAAACAAAAGGACATAAAAATTTCCCAGAACAATGAGTAAAATCTAAGAAAATTAAATTTAATATTGGTAATGTAAAAATGTATACTTGGGTTCAAAAAGCCAATGCCAAGAAGACAAGAATGGGAGAGAGATGGTTTAAACAGTGTATTAGACATAGTAAGTACAACAGGTATCATAGAATGACCAGACTATTTTCAAAAATATAGTCTTACTTCTCATAATGATACTTCCTAAGGAACACCCAGAGAATACTACCACTTTCTTCTGAAAGGCACCAGTAGGAATATGTACCAAGAGGACCACAAGGCAAATCAGCAGCCTCCAGCTTTGCCAGCAACAGCAGGGTATGACAACAACCAGGAGCACTTAGATGCTGGAGCAGTGTTGCAGGCTAGCCCACACTATGGACTGGATAGTGTCTGCAGATGAGGACAAGTGAGTTCACCAGTGTAAGGAGCAAGGGGAGGGGAGTATCCATAGGCAAACCTCATCAGCACACTTTTCAGTGTCATTTCTAATGGGTAACCTCAGTCAAAAATAAGAAATGTTTGGGGTGCCTGGGTGGCTCAGTCGTTAAGCGTCTGCCTTCGGCTCAGGTCATGGTCCCAGGGTCCTGGGATCGAGCCCCGTGTTGGGCTCCCTGCTCAGCGGGAAGCCTGCTTCTCCCTCTCCCATTCCCCTTGCTTGCATTCCCTCTCTCACTGTGTCTCGCTCTGTCAAATAAATAAAATCTTTAAAAAAAAAAAAAAAAAGAAACGTTTGGTACTTTTGTCCCTAGAAAATGGCCCATTCATACTGTGTGTTTTGAAAGGACATCTGTATCCACCGTTTATGTTCTGCTAAAATAGGTTTTCATCTTCTGAAACTACTATTTCAATGACAGAATCAAAATAACAGAAGTTCCCCTCAGAAAATGCACTCCTAAGATGCTATAAATTAATTTTGACTAGAATTGAAATATTTACCATAAGGAAAGCATTATCACCCAAAAGGGTGATCTGGAATCCATTTGTGTGCGTGCTACTGACCAAGTGTCAAGAAAACTTACCCTAATACATCCATCTGCCCCAATGGTGATAACTTCGCCCTCATCCAGCATTATCTGGTTAATGGGACCCTGATGACAAGACTTCCTTCCAGCTCGACAGAGCTCAACCTTGATGAGGCCGCCTTCCCACAACAGCATGTTGCCCCACCCTGAGCCCGAGAGCACCTGGCAGGTATGCAGAAAGGAAGGAATGTGCATTAAAACAGACAAACATGGATATTTATGCCTCAAATGGCAGGTGAGAATTATTTTCATAGTTTCTCTTTCTTGATTATGAAAGTAAAAAAAATAAGTATAGAAAAATAAGAAAATATAGAAATGAAAATTCACCACTTCGGAAACAACCACTAATCACATTTGTATGTATTTCTTCCTAGCATTATGCATAATTTTACATCATTGTGATTAGGCTGTACATTGCTGGTAATTTTTCAAATATATCACGTGCCCTCCTCAATACCCATCACCTGGTAACCCCATCCCCCCAATCCCCGTCCTTCTGTAACCCTCAGTATGGTTCCCGGAATCCAGAGTCTCTCATGGTTTGTCTCCCTCTCTGATTTCTTCCCATTCAGTTTTCCCTCCCTTCCCCTGTGGTCCTCCACACTATTTCTTATGTTCCACAGATGAGTGAAACCATATGATAATTGTCTTTCTCTGCTTGACTTATTTCACTTAGCATAATGCCCTCCAGTTCCATCCATGTTGATGCAAATGGTGGGTATTCATCCTTTCTGATGGCTGAGTTATATTCCATTGTAGATTCTAGTTTTTAAGAGTGATAATATTAAAGGTTATGAGATGTGTCAAAAATTGTGAGGCCATTACTGAACTCAGCAGATTATAGCATAATAATACCCAATTTCAAACAAGAATAGTCATTTGGAACCAGCTCCTATTAATCCATTTAATCCAGCACTTCCCCAAGTATGTACCACCAAACACTAGTTCTTAGGATGTTTAAGAGGTATTCCCCTAGGCAATATGCCCACAAATTTTGCAAGAAGAAGAGAGAAAATAAACTAACAATGTTAAAGACTAAACTAACAGATTAAAGTTGAGTGCATCTGTAGGTGCCTCTGTGAAGTGACTCAATCTTCCTAAATAATAATCTGACAATAAAAGAGAAAGCCACAAGACTGTATACAACCTTCGAGCCAGTAAGTCCTCTTGGAGCATCATGACAAAAGAGGAGGGACAGATAAACATAATAATCCATGACAATAAGTGACAATATGTCACTACGTTAATATATTAAAATGCTTGCATACTTTATATATGTGTGTATAATATTTAGCATAAAAAAAGGTATTTACATGTGGATTATGACTACTCCCTAGAACTATATTAATTAAAATTGATAATCTGAAGAGGAAAAATTACATGTTCATTATATTTACAATGATAGTATCCATTATTACTAACATTGGCAGTGGTTTTTAGAATGTCTAATGTACTTTCATATATTTTCATTTTGAAAACATAATTTTATTATTGTAGAATAGTGGCTGTACTCACCTTCCCATCCGGGAGCTGCATGTAACCTTCTATATCAGAAGTGGCTGTTTTGCCAAATCGACCCAATGAGCCCTGAAGCTTGAGACCAGTGAATGTTAGAGCCATTTCCCAGAACCTGCAAACAAGAAAGAGACTGAATGTACCTCAAAGAGGCTTTATTTATTTTTATTATCACTCAAGCATTTACATGTTTCAGAGTCACATATATTATTTCATCATTCATTCATCTAACTAATATGTATTAAGTATCACCTACCTGTCAGGCAAAGTTCTAGGTAATATGAATTCAGAATTGAGCAAAATAGACAAAATAAATTCCCTGCTTTTCAGGATATTTTATCTTAGAGTCATGCTGTCCTATGCAGTTGGCCCTAGCCAAGTTTGACTATCTTAATTTAGACTTAATGTAATTAACACTAAATCAAATTTAAAACTCTCTTTCAGTCAGACCAGCCAGTTTCAAGTACTCAATAGCTACATGCAGCTAGTGACTACTAGACTGGACAACATAGAACATTTCCATCTTGGCATGTAAAAAGATGTAAGAGTTTTCAAAAAATTCTAACTTACTTGTTGTGTAGCTTAAGAGTGATTGTGCTCTCAATCTCTCATGAATAAAATAAGGATACTAGTAGAACCTACCTCATAAAATTGTTGAAAAACTCTTAGAACAGTGCCTTGCACATAAAATCAATGAATAAAGGTTGGTTATTACTAGCATTTATTATTAATAGTTTAAGTAAGTGAACAGTCAGATGATGAAAAACATGTAGAAAAAAGAATCTGGCCTACCAACTAGATATAAAATAGATAATGGATGGTATCAACAAGCCAGTAATATGAAGCCAAAAGCTTAAATAACCAACATCCTTCTCCAAGGCTTTCATAGGTCCCCTGATCATACATTTCCATATACATACGTTTCTTCTATAGCACTTCACACATGAAATTATTTTATTTCTCTCTCCAAAGATACAATGCAAAGAAAATATGCACTTTACTAAATGATGGGAGAATGTAAAGAACTGGAAATTTTTAGCCTACAGCTAGCAGAAGATTACTTAAGAATTCCCCCAAATTTCCATTTTAAAATCTATTCAATTAATCTGTATTTCTAATGAATAAATAAGAAGAGAGCCAGGTTTGAATTGGAATAAGAGAAACTTAGGATAAAAATGTCTTTCTCGAAAAGGACACTGGAAATCTAGTTATGAGCAGCTCGAAGGAGGTGGTAGAAGGTTGTTAAATAAATGCATAAGACAGGGTAGAACAAAAACCGAAAAAGACAAAATCATTCCATCCTGAAAAAAAAGAGAGCAGAGTGTGAAAGAGTGAAAAGGACATGGAATTTTGAGCCAGAGACCGGAGATCAAAAGTAGGCTCTGTTACAATTTAGTACTGAGGGTCCTGTGTTAGGAATGATTCTGTTATAACTCATGTTTTACAGATGAATACTGAGTTCAGAGATGTCAAAATGACTTAGGCATCATACAATATTGCTGCCACAAATTTAAAAGTGGATCTAAATACTCAATATGCCATGTTAGTAAGCAGTATACAAACCCTTTTAGGTGGTAAAGCCTGTAAGGCAGCAGGCTAAATTTAAAAGCCCTTCTTTTTATCTATGCTGGTTTCAGTAATAACAGCCCCATATCCGATTAGAAAAGCAGCACTACAGTTAGCTTTGAAGATAACACATTTAAACATTATCCTACTGTTAACATCAGCACAAATGTCTCCAGATGGCTGATCCTCTTAAGACAATATCCTTAATGATTATCTACCGGTACCTGTACCAGTCACACAACCTACTTGATGTGGCCTGATCCCGATGTAGTAAGCTGCTCATCATCTTCAGGATTGAAAGTAACCTTAAAAACTTCCTGGGAAAAAGCTTTTGTCCTCAGTATGGGCTGTTCTTCTTTCCAATTCCAGATGGTCAGTGTGTAATCAGGGTTGCTGCCAACAGAGGCTAGCAAGGTACCATTGTAGTTAAAATCCACATAAGCATAGCCCAGCTCAGTCCCATCTGAAAGGATGAATGGGAGTCTAATGAACAAAGGCAACATTTCATTTTCAAAAGTATATTATTAAAAAAAAAAAAAAGGAGGGAAAGAGAGTGAGTACCCTTGGTGATAACTATTGATGAAAGAATGCCAAGAATTCCCAAAGAAACAATCCAAAATCATGCATCACCCTTGGCTTTAGAATGTATTACATGACATGAGGGGGGAGAGTGAAGAAATCTTAGTCACATTTTGCATGAGAAAAACACCTTGAGAACACATTCCATTTTATGGAGTGGGGTAGGGGGGTACAAAATCCTGTTAGATGGCAGAAAGGTATCAATCTGTAATTAGAAATTTGCCACTGGAAAATTCATCAAATAAAAATTGAGGACTTCAGGTTTCTGGTTATGCATGTAAGGAGCTTGGAAGTCAGCATTCCATCCTAACAACAAATAAAAAGCTGAACACACTGAAAAATCAACAACTCTTCTTGAATTCATAAGTGAGGGAAGGACACAGGGCAAATGGCTGCTCCCAAGACTGGGGAGACTGGTGGGTGAGGTGCATTTGCAACTTATCACGGCAGGAACTCACAAGCAGTAACAGCTAAAACAGCAGAGAGAACCAGGGCCAGGGTAATAAAACCTGAACAGTTATAACTGAAGAATTGCTGGAGCTCAGTGTGGACAAGTTGGAGAGTTAAAAACTCCAGGGGGACCCAGTCATAAGTGGGCCCCAACAATATTGTGAGATTTATCCCCAGGAGCTTGACCAGGTTCCCACAGTAAATACTAGAAAAACAACTCAGGCTTTCAACAGGGGGAGGGGGAAAAGGAACCGTTTTGAAACACCAGAACACTTCGTTCTTCTTAATAAGGCCTGCCCTCAGGAGAAACTAATTAACCAGAGCCTAATTAACCTGGGGAAGGAAATACCCAACTCTAGCCCCCTCTAACTGATGTGGTTTTGGAATATAGGTGAGGTTCGGTGGGTGGGGTCCGGAGCCAACGACAAAGAAAGAATTCTTGAGATGTCTTTGGTGCAAAACAATGGTTTTATTTAAGCACGGGGATAGGACCCGTGGGCAGAAAAAGCAGCTGGACCAGGGTTGTGAAAGGTGGCTGATTATATACCATGGGGCTGGGGGAGGTAAGGAAAAAGGGAGGTTTTCAAAAGAACTTTTTCATATGCTAAAGAGGACCTACAAGACACCAGAGGCCTCGCCATTGTCAAATTAAGGTTGTTTTTCCTTCTAGCAAGGCATCAACATTAAGATAGTTGGGAGCTTCCTGGAGGAACATTATACTCTGTATTATATACTCTGCTTCAAGTATCTGTCAATGGGCTGCAGGTTATAAGGACATTTCATTGTATCCACATTTCCTTCTGGAAGCTAGGTTATTGATAGAAATGCTTTGTTCTTGTAGATTGCTAAGACATTTGTAAACTGAGGGAGACTCAGGTCTTGCAGGATTGTGATCTCTGTAAGTTAACGATTTGTTTTTCCTTTCCTTAGCTTTAGGGCAGCCAGGAGTGTCTGAGGAATGTCACATATATCCCATGGGGAAGGCGGTTTGTGGGGTGTCAGCTTCTGCTTTGTCCTCAGCTTACCTTCTATTCCCTCATCATAATCATCCTGTCCCACCGAAGGGGGAGAAAACAACTCAGAAACGTTTGTGAAGTTCAGTTCAGAGGCAGAGGCTCACGAAAAATTTGAGACTTAATCAGAGAACTAAAGAACACTTCTCCTCCCCCCCACACCTTACCACCAAGTTATAAAAGGCCTATTTACAGCAATTATCTTTCCCCACTACACCATGTCTGGCTATCAAGAAAAAATTACAAAGCATACCAAAAGGCAAGAAACACAGTTTGAAGAGACAGAACAAGCATCAGAACCCGATATGGCACAGATGTTGGAATTATCAGACTGGGAATTTAAAACAACTATGATTAATATGCTAAGGGCTCTAATGAATAAAGTAGACAATATGCAGGAACAAATGGGCAATGTAAGCAGAGAAATGGAAATCCTAAGAGAACGAAAAGGAAATGCTAGAGATAAAAAACATTATAACAGAAATGAAAAATGTCTTTGGTGGGCTCATTAGTAAACTGGACACAGCTGAGGAAATAATCTCTGAACTACAGAATAGATCAATAGAATCTTCAGAGAACTGAAGAGCAAAGAGAACAAAGACTGATGAAAATGGAACAGAATATCTAAGAACTATAGAACAACTACAAAAAGTATAGTGTATGTATAATGGGAATACCAAAAGGAGAAGAGAGAAAGGAACAGAAGAAATATTTGAAACAGTAATGCCTGAGAATTTCCCGCAAATTAGTATCAGACACCAAACCACAGATCTAGGAAGCTCAGAGAACACCAACTAGAATAATGCCCAGAAAACTACAGAAAATGAAAATAAAGGAAGAACTCCTAAAAAAAAGCCCAAGGGGGAAAAAAAACCTTACCTAAAGAAGAATGGAGAGTTATATCCAACTTCTCTTCAGAAACCATATAAGCAAGAAGAATGGACTGAAATATTTAAAGGAAAGGAAGGGAAAAAAAACCCCACCAACCTAGAATTCTGTACCTTGTGAAATTATCCTTCAAAAGTGACCGATATATACTTTCTCAGACAAACACTGAAGGAATTTGTTGCCAGGAGACCTGCTTTGCCAGAAATGTTAAAAAGAAGTTCTCTAAACAGAAGGCAAATAACATAGGTCAGAAACTCAGGTATACATAAAGGGATGAAGAGGACTGAAGAAGGAGTAAGTGAAAGTAAAATAAAAAACTTTCGTTTTTCTTATTCTTAATGTAATAAACAACAGTTCAAGAAAAGAAAACTACAAAACAGTATCTTTCATGAACATAGATGCAAAAATCCCCAACAAAATATTAGCAAATTGAATCTAACAATGTACAAAAACAATTAGATTATTATTTTGTGGATATCAACAAACTGATTTTAAAGTTCAGACAGACAAAAGACCCAGAATAGTCAACATAATATTAAGTGGAAAGAACAAAGTTGGACTCATAATACCTGACTTCAAAACTTCCTATAAAGCTACAGTAATCAAGACAGTGTGACACTGGGGAAAGAATAGATAAATAGGTAAATGGAACAGAATAGAAAGCCCAAAAATAGACCAACAGGAATATATTCAGCTGATCTTTGAGAAAGGAATGGAGGCAATATAACAGAGCAAGGACAGTCTCTTCGACAAATGGTGCTGGAACAGCAGGACATCCCTAGGCAACAAATAAGCAAACAAGCAAACAAATAAATTAATGTAAACCTAGACCTTATACCTTTCATAAAAATTAACTCAAAATGGATCGTAGGCCTAAGTATAAAATGTAAAAACATAAAACTCCTAGAAGATAACGTAGAAGAAAACCTAGACGGCCTCGGGTATGGTGATGCCTTTTTAGATTCCACACCAAAGACAGACAGGATCCATGAGAGTATAAGCCAAGATTCATTAAAATGAAAAACTCCTCTGAGAAGGGCAATGTCAAGAAAATGACAAAACAAGGCACAGATTGGGAGAAAATATTTGCAAAAGGCATATGCGATAAAGGACTATTACCAAAAATATACAAACAACTCTTGACACTCAACAATAAGAAATGAACAACTCGATTACAAAATGGGCCAAAGACCTTAACAGACAGCCTCACCAAAAACATGCAGGTAACACATAAACATTTAAAAAGATGCTCCACGTCCTATGGGAACCACAAATTTAAAGACTGAGATACTGCTACACACCTATTTAGAATGGCCAAAATCCAAATCACTGACAACACCGAATGCTGATGAGGACGTGGGGCAGCAAGAGTTCTCATTCACTGCTGGTGGGAACACAAAGTGGTACGGCCACTTGGGAAGACAGTTTGGCAGTTTCTTACAAAACTAAGCAGACCCTTACCATGCTCCAGTAATTATGCTCTTTGGTATATACCCAAAGTAGTTGAAAACTTACGTTCACACAAAAACCTGTATTCAGGTGTTTATTGCAGCTTTATTCATAATTGCCAAAATTTGGAAACAACTAAGATGCCCTTCAATATGCAAATGAATAAACAGTGGTGCATCCAGACAACAGAATATTATTCAGCACTAAAAAGAAATGGGCTATCAAGCCATGAAAAGACAGGGAGGAACCTTAAATTCATATTCCTAAGTGAAAGAAGTCAATCTGAGAAGGCTACACACTGTATGAGTCCAACTATATGACATTCTGGAAAAGGCAAGCCTGTGGGGACAATAAAAAGATCAGTGCTTGCCAGTGTGGAGGCAGTCATAAATAGGGAGAGCACAGAGGATTTTTAGGACAGTGGAAATACACCATATGAGATTATAAGGATGGATATACATCATTAGACATTTGTCTAAACCCAAAGAATACAACACCAAGAGTAAAGCCCAGGGGACACTGTGGACTCTGGGTGACTATGATGTGCTAACAGAGACTGGTCCTCAGTAAAAAATGTACCTAGTGAGTGATAACAGGGAATGTTATGCACGTGTAGGGGAAGAGGGCTATGGGAAATCTCTGAACCTTCCTCTCAATTTTATTGTAAATCTAAAACTGCCCTGAAAAGTAGTCTGTTTAAAAAACTACTAAAATTAATTATATGGAAAGCAAAATTCATAAGAGAACTGTGGTGATTAAGTTCATGTGTGGTTATTTTAATCTGGGTGGGCCTCATTCAATCAGTTGAAAGTCCTTAAAAGCAAAACTGAGGTTTCACCTGAGGAAGATGAAATTCTACCTGAACATGTAGCATCAGCCCCAGCCCAAGAATGTCCAGCCTACTGGCCTGCCCTACAAACTTCAGACTTGCCAGCCCCTACAAGTACATAAGCCAATTCCTTTAAGTAAATCTCTTTTCTACCTCCTCCTAGTTCTGTGTCTCTGGAAGACCCTGAATGTTGTTAACCTTGAACATGGAATATTTTAGAGGATATACTGAGCTCACCTTGAAGGATTCTGTAGGGCTTCAAAGAAGGATATTCATAGATGATAATCTTTGGGAAAACACCTTTTTCAGCTACTGTGAAGTAAGTTTTATCAGGATGAACCTATAAAAAGTAAAATCTCACTTAAATAGTAAAAGGAGAATTTTCTTATAAATAGTTCTATTAATGTAGTATTTAGCATCTGTGATTTTATAGTTTATTAGGATCCACTCCAATAGAAAACTAAAAAATGGGCATCTGGTAAGTACGTGGTGATGGATGTGATTTAAACTGAAACCTAGGGGAATACTCATTTTAAGTTTTACTTTTGTTAATAGAGTCATCTCTACCTCTACAATTTTTTTAATTGCCATCAGAAGAGCTAGAACAGTGGTTCTCAATCGTTAGCACATATCAGAACCACAGGGAGGGCTTATTAAGGCACAGAGGGCAAGCCCTACCACCAAAGTTTCTGATTCAGTACATCAGGGCTGGGCCCCCAAAATTTGCATTTATATCTCTAACAAGTTCCAGGTGATGTTGATGCTGCTAGCCTGGGGACCACTCTTTGAGAACAACTAAGTTAGATGAATTGTTTACCCTCCATATATAAATCAGCCTAAATTTTTGTACAGAAAAATCCATGTTTCCAGAATAGGTTACAGCTCAGTTTAAAAAAAAATTTCACCTTGGACAAATTCACCACAAATACATATAAACTTACTAGAAGTGAGAAAGATAAAATATTTTCAAGCCAGATGCAGAGGAAAATATAGTAAATATGCCCTGGGTAAACTATTTGTGTCAGCATTTCAAATGATAGCAGTATAAATCTTATAGAATTATATGTTTATTCCTGTTATTTTTGTTCATTCGTAAGCCAAGGTGCAGGAAGAGTAAATGGATAGTCTAAAAATAAAAATAGGCTATTACAAAAATAAACTATTTAAGACACAATATGTGCTTTATGAAATTCTGTTTTCGGTTACCATGTTGCAACTCCTGATTTTATACCCCTGGAACAGGAGCTTTCCTCAGAGGATATAGGTTGCACCGTACGTTTTGGTACCCAAAATAACATTGTAGCTTTTTTTCTTCTCCCCACACATGGGGCCATAAGACCTATAATAAGGTCTTCCTACTGACACCTCTTCCATTCAAGTAAACACCCATCACTTCAGCTTGAAACCAGGCTTGGCTTTATAGGAGGGACACTCGGTGAAAGAACGCTTATTGCATGCTTATTATGTGCCCCAGACACTGTGTACGTTTTATAAGAATTAATTCCCTTAAATTTTACATCATAACCTTGTGAGTTCGGATACCCTTATCCTTCCCATCTTTTTCATGAGGAAATAAGCACAGAGAGGCTAAGTAACTTGAAGTCATACAGCTTGCAAATGTCAGAGGTAGGATTCAAGCCAGGTGTTGGAAGCCAGGAAGAAAGGGGAACTAAAAAATAGGAGCTACGAAGGACTTAGAGGGAAACAGGTTACGACTACATCTTTCTAGATGCCCATTTACAGAAGAATATTGTGTGGGATATGCGGTCACAGAAATCTGTATAGGAATTCAGGCAAATCCTTTACCACTCTAGGTCTGGCCTCCAGTAAGGGAAAAAGTTTCAGCCCCTTCAGATCAGAAGCTCTGTGGGGTTGAGTTTGGTGTTTTATCTTTAGTGGGGATCTGGAATTAATGAGTCATTTACTTTACACTCAACATACTATCTTTTCTGAAAGATAGTTGATATGCCCGCATTACCCATTTCCCACAGGTTTCTTATTTCCCTGCCAGAACACTTCTTATCCACAAACGGCTGTTTCAGGAAAAAATGAAGTGATGAGGACAGCTGAGGAAAGGCCCCTATCCAAGCACTGACAGCTCCAGCATGCATGGAGAAAAGCCCTGTGGACATGCAAATGCCCAGAGTCCAGGGGGATGAGGATTCGGATTAGCATTCTTGACCACAGTACACCTCTACCTACTGACCTCAGACCAAGTTATTGTACAACAAAATAGAAATTTCAAAACTACTATTGGCCATAAAGTGAGAGGAAAAAAAGTGATAGTTACCTGTTTCTCAATACTCTGCAGGTGATATGGACCTCAAGGCTCATGACACCTCAGGGTGGCCCCTGACCGACTTCCCTCCACAGAACCCGTGACCCTCACGTTGGGCCTGTGAATATTTGCACACAGCTGTGCCACAGTATCATGTACTTGTATGGATCTGGGTTTTTGGTTTTTTGCTTTTTAACATGAGCCTTGCCTCTTTAGATGGATTTTAAACTCTCTGAATCCATAGAGGTCCGGAACCCTTCTTCATTTAAATCCCTGCATGTTCTGAGTACTGTTGGACACACAATGTAATATAATAAATTCTTGTTGGGGAGCCTGTGTGGTTCAGTCATTTGAGCATCTGACTTTGGCTCAGGTCAGGGGTCTGGGGTCCTGGGATCGAGCCCCACATCAGATCCACACTCAGTGGAAGTCTGCTTGTCCCTCTCCCCTTCCCTACCCCACCCCGCTCCTGCTCTCTCTCTCAAATAAATAAAATCTTTTAAAAAATAATCATAATTAATTAATTCTTGTTGAGGACAGGGACTTTACCATGCACACGTGTTATGTATAGATAGATGATCAAAAAAGAAATAATCATGAGACTATCTTCACTCATCCATCTCACCATATCCTGTTTCCATAACCACTCCAAGTTCTATTTGTGGATCTTAGATTTTCCTTACCTTCTCCGTTCCCATTCATGTCCCTATTTCATTTCTCAGAGCAAGAATCTTCAAAACCTCTCCACTCACCTCCATTTCTAATCTAAACACCCTACCAGGTCCCATCTAATCTAATCAAAAGTATTTCCCACCACTCCCTGCTAGGTTGGCCCAGTCTCTCTGTTGGAGCTGCACCAGGCTTTCTGTTGGAAGCCCTCCACCTCTGCAGGATGTGGTGATGTGGGCCCTGCACCTCCCAGTTCTGTCTGGGCTGCTCACACCTGACAGGCAGGGTAAGAGCAGGGCAGACTTCTATTTAGATCATGATCCTTCTAAAAAACCCTTTGAGCATCTGCTATGGAAGTGCTGCTTATATGCACCCCAAATCCTGCGTATTTCTCCTCCTTTCCCTGTCTCACATAGTCTACTCTGAACAGGGGCCCCTCTCATGACTCTAAAGACACCAAGAGGTGTTTCTCGGATTGTTATTGGTGAGAGCAGATCTAGGGACACCTGCTTTTAAGGATCACAGAGTAGAAAAACAGTCAAGGTAAAAACTCAGGTATGGGGCCAAGTGCTAGAGAGAGGTCAGGTAAGATACAGTTAGAAAGGTATTCTTTGGATTTGGCTACTCAAAGGGCCACTGGTCACTTTAGTATGGGCAATTTCAGTGAGGTGGGAGGGAAAAAAACAGCAGAAGCTTGGCTTTGAAGGGAAAAGTCAGCGGGTAAAGAGAAGGCACGGTTAGAGAGGGGCCCTTTAAGGTGAGAACAAGTTGATTTAGTGTACTTTTATGCTGAGGATGAAAAGTCTAAGGAAGTAGAGGCCGAAGATACAAGAAAGAAGGTGACTGATGGAGACAGGTACCTGAGGAGGAAGGAAGAGACAGCCTCCAAATCACATGCAAATCCTTTTGTCGACTGCTCAAAATTACCGAACGTACAACCTATACTTGATCTCTTAATGTTCGATTCTATACCCACATCTTATCTGGCGCTTATCTCTATTATTTGGATTATCATTGGTGCTATTCACCTGAGTATTTTTGCAGAAGGGCAACAGGGAGTTCAATAGGAAACCCCTGCAGGACTGGGGGAAGCCACTTAACTTCTACCAACTCCAGTTTCCTTATCTGCAAAATGAGATGATAGTATCATCCACATAATGTTGTAATACTGCACAGAGATCATGTCAGTGAATGGAGTGGTTGTAATCGTTGAATTGGAAACACCTTAATCCTGCAATACGGCATATGGTATTGGCACCTAAGAGCCTGGCCAGTCCACAGAAGAAACAAATACAAAAGGACAGATTTTTTTTTCCTAAGTCACTACCAGCATACCCCAATGACACCAATTCCTCTCCCACTGCTACTTCGCAGGTACATCTGTTCCTTGGTTTTCAAATTCAGAAGGATCAGCTGGTTCCCAGCTATGTACATCACAGTATTGCTGTCCAGAAGTTGTAGGTTGGCCCGCTTTCTGCAGTCGTAACCAAAGGAATGACTGAGGGAAAGTTGTTAAGGAAAAGAAGTGAAACAAAGTAATCATCCGAGAGACAGGAAACCTAATGAAATAAACACGTTTGAAAAGTTGTGACATTAGACAAAGGTTCAGTGTTGAAGTAGTGGAATTTTGCTTTGAAACCCGGAGTTTTTATTTATTACTAATGCAACTTTGTTTTTAAATGAGGTGAAAATTCTTATACTCTGATTTAATCAATATTTTAATTTTCTTAGGGAGATTCTGAAAGCAGATTAATTTTATAAAAGTAAAAGTATTATATAGGCCTCTTCCTTGATGTTGAAAGGTGAGATGTTTAAAATTCTGACAGAATGTTTTAAAGTTCTGACAAACCAGTGACAATCTGACTAATATAATAAATCCACATAAATATAATTGAAATTTAATTCATATGAACAAATTATGAAAATGGACTAAATAATATATAGTATATAAATATGTATAATAAATATGCTAACATTTCCTTTCTGAGCTCATTAGTATGTACAGGTGTGTGGATGAGTGTGTGTGTGTGTGTGCATGCACATTTATGCTATAGAGTAAATCTGAACTAATTCAATATAGAGGTTAAAATAATCTAAGTTTTTATAAAACATCTCTTAAATGTACATTGTTACTACATTCAAGTTCAAATTAATATAACCCAATATATAAATGTAATAAGTAAATGAGATTAATCTACAAAAAATATAGTTTGCAAAAGAAATATATTACATAGTGTATCTTAAGTAGATGGATTCGTATTTTCTAAGAACTCACTGTTGAACACAAAAATTAAAGGATCATTGGAGAAATCTTTATTTCTTGGGCCCTTCTTTAAAAAATAAATTCTGATTTTAGAAGTTTACCCTTATTTGTAAGTGAATATTTTTAGAGAAAGAAACTATGTAGAATTTTTAACAAGAAGAATATCTACAATTGTAAAAAAGAGAAAATTTTAATGCAATTCGAATTGTGAAGTATATACAAATTACAACCAACTATATATAACTATACTTAGCTCATTGCCTAAGAGTTAAGTTGAAAAAGAGAGAGAACATTTCAGGGCTTTTGATCTGTTCAAGAAAAAGGAATTTTATCAATTTAATAAAAATATAAACACCTAAAACTGAATTTTATATAAAAGCACAAATAAATGTGTGATCCAGAGATCTTGCTGAAGCTATTCAGGCCTCACGGAAACTACCTGAGGCCTCCTTACAAATAAAGAGTGGGAACCACAGGCTCTTTATCTTCACAGAGCCTGGTACGGGGCAGGAGGCTTCACCTACCCTCCCTCCTTTTCCCTTTCCCCAAACTGCTGTTCTCACCTTTCCTTCCTTCTCTCCTTCCTCGGTTCCCAGGTGCCAGTGTAACACTTTGGAGGGCTAAAAGCTACGTCTATAGCTATGAGCGTAGAAGTAGGCTACCATCTCTTCACTAACTTGGGTGGCGGTTGGGGATCACACATGTGATCATTTATCTGATATTATCATCTCTAATTTTGGGGTGGGGGGCGACTCCCTTCTACTTGCCGCTGCTCTCCGATGCAGAATGGGTAAGATTGTTACTTCCCAAACTCTCCCCTTCCAAATCACAGCCTGCTTCTTCTCTCAGGTCATCTCTATTTCCCAGAGTGCCGAGTGCAGTGTCTTGAGCCTTAGGCATTCGATAAATGTCTGTTGGATTAGTTAGTTAATTACTGTATAACTAGGGCCTGATCCTTCTCTTTTAACCTCAGAGAACAGCGGGAGCCACTAACCAGAGCTTTGACGATGTTAAATTATGTTCTGCTATACCTTCAACTCCTCTCTGTTTTATCCCATCCTCTCTTCTGGCTTGCGTCTTATTAACTTCCTATCAGAGACCCAGGGCCTTCACTGTTCTTGGGCATCTAGGACCCTCACTTTAAAACTGCATTTAAGGGACGCCTGCGTGCTTCAGTTGGTTAAGCATCTGCCTTTGGCTCAGGTCATGATCCCAGGGTCCTGGGACTGAGTCCTACATTGGGCTCCTTGCTCAGCGGGAAGCCTGCTTCTCCCTCTGCCTGCCACTCCCCCTGTTTGTGCTCTCCCTCTCTGACAAATAAATAAATAAAATCTTTAAAAAAAATAAAATAAAATTGCATTTAATTATGTCTTATATAAATTATGCTATGGGGTGCCTGGGTGGCTCAGTTGGTTAAGCGACTGCCTTCGGCTCAGGTCATGATCCTGGAGTCCCGGGATCAAGTCCCACATCGGGCTCCCTGCTCAGCAGGGAGTCTGCTTCTCCCTCTGACCCTCCTCCCTCTCATGCTCTCTGTCTCTCATTCTCTCTCTCGCAAATAAACAAAATCTTAAAAAAAAATAATAAAAAATAAATAAATAAATAAATAAATTATGCTATGGTTTAGGTGATATTTTTTAAAGATTTTTTTTTTTTTGACAGAGAGAGAGAGAGACAGCGAGAGAGGGAACACAAGCAGGGGGAGTGGGAGATGTTCCAAAGAGGCAGCTTTTAATTCAAGGTCTAGAAAAGCTAATAATGTAAGCTATCCAAAAATTGGATAAGCTACTTTGTGACTTCCCTGGTATTGAAAGGGTTCACAAAACGTCTATAGGTTACATAGCCGCTCATCCAGCATAAATATAATACCTTGACTCAATTCATACCTTGAGTCAAAAGTCAAGGTCACTCTGACTCTTATTATTTGGAATCTAGGCATATCTCTCCAATACTGAGATCCCTGTATCCTGGAGCAGCAAGTCCCCAGTACTGGGGGCTCAGAGAAGACGACACAATCAAAAGTACCTGGGAAGCCTTTTCAGACGACAAGTCCCCAAGTCCCTCTCCCCACGGATATAATGCAGTAGGTCCAGGAAAGGTACCAGACTATGTGTATTTCAGGAAAAGCTTCAGGGCGACTCTGATAAACCACCTCATTTAAAAACAAATAGGCTAGAAGAAAGGCAACAGCATAACTTTTATCAGCAACTTGTCCAAAGACCACATATGCAAAAAAGTCTTCAGGAGAGAAAACTCCAAGTTATAAGATTCAGGGGGAGGGCGCCTGGGTGGCTCAGTCGGTTGAATGACTACCTTCGGCTCAGGTCATGATCCCAGGGTCCTGGGATCGAGTCCCACATCGGGCTCCCTGCTCTGCGGGGAGCCTGCTTCTCCCTCTCCCACTCCCCCTGCTTGTGTTCCCTCTCTCGCTGTGTCTCTCTCTGTCAAATAAATAAATAAAATCTTAAAAAAAAAAAAAAAAAGATTCAGGGGGAATTAGTTTTAGGTACACCTGGGGTTGAAACAGAAAACTATAATCACATGTTCTATTTTTACATAAAAAGCAAAACTGGAGCCAGGAAGTACATGGCCCTCCTCTTTAAGCACACCTTGTCTAAGAGGCCATGTGGTCATCACTACCACCCCTCTGAAGGTAAGCATACTAAATTGCAAGCCAAGAGCATGAATGGAAATCTCCCAACTCCACCTGACAAACCTAACATGGTACAGTGAGAGCAGACCCTAAATCTTCTTGTTGATTATCCCCACCTTTAATTTTTTTCATGGACTCTTACTCTCCAGACCAATTTAAAACTGATTATTTGAGGGGCGCCTGGGTGGCTCAGTTGGTTAAGCCACTGCCTTCGGCTCAGGTCATGATCCTGGAGTCCCGGGATCGAGTCCCGCATTGGGCTCCCTGCTCAGCGGGGAGAGGCCAAATTTTGTGCATGTACGGCTAGTTTGCCGACCCCTGACCTAAGAAGCTGAAATCCAAAAATTATACACATATAACTAGAGTGGATACACAAGTGTGAGAAGATCCAGTGGTATGTTCGAATCCGGAGTCACAAAAGGCATCGAAACAAGCTCCACATAATTGTAGAAGAAGTTCGCCGAGATTTTCTTCTTAACTTTCTCCTCCGCCTCTTCTGAGGTTGGAGCAGGGGCTTCCATATACTGAGATTCTAAAAAGTTAAAATATTTTAACTAAGAAGAGCGTCTGGTGAATCCTAAAATTGTATTTCACAAAGACAGGAGGAATGTACCTAGCCTGCAACAGTCGAGCAGGAAGTACTACCAGGGTGGGATGCCACCCACCAGTGAGCATATGGGAGGGAGAGCCAACATGCCTGTGTGCATCAGGGTGAAGGCAGATCTCTGGTCATGGTCTCTGCAGTCTCAAAGAGCAACTCCTAATCAGTCCCAAGGGTGAGTTATAATTCACCAGTCTGGGATGGAGCACTCCTTAGAGCATCCTACTCCCCAGAAAACCAAGTCTGAGAGTCTTGAATGTGATCCTCAGAAATGTAATATATAGCTACAGAGCTGCTAAATCACCCTGTTAAAGTATGTTCCATGCTTTTCCTTTTATCACCCAGACACATCCTGCAAGTTTTTATTTCTATGAATTTGTAACTATTCAATTTGGGCAATTTGTCTTTAAAACAGTTACTATTACTGATAGAAAACTAATAATACTTACCTCCAATGTTATCCACATAGTCATCTTGAAATGAACTTGAACTTCCTTCCAAATGTTCCATATCATAATCATCATCCTCTAAATATGATTCTCTACCTTCAATAAATGTCTCATCTGTGGCATCCTCTCTCACAGCAGCTATTAAAAGTAATTTGTTTTAATAATTTCTACATTTTGAATTAAACATTTCCTTATTTCCAAAGTAACTAATATTTTCTGATTACAACTGAAGTAAAGTAAAAATAAACTATGATAAGATATCTGGAAAACCTACAAATATTTGGAAATCAAAGAACATTTAAGAATAAAGTATGGGTCAAGGAGAAATCAACAAGGAAATTTAAAAATATTTCAAACTAAATGGTAATTAAAATATAACATGTCAAATTTGTGGGATGCAACTAAGGCAATGCTTAGAGGGAAATTTCTAGTTTTTGTACACATATAAGAAAAGAAGAAAAGTCAAGACTCAATGACCTAAAGCTCTACCTCAAGAATCTAGAAAAAGCAATAAGAAAATAAAGTGAAATGATAGAAATAACAAAAGTGAAAGCAAGAATCAATTAAATAAAAGGCAAACAAACAATAGAGAAAATTAGCAAAACCAAAATCTTACTCTTTGACAAGATCGACCAAATGGAGAAACTCCTAGCTAGACCAATCAAGAAGAAAGAGAGACCATACAAATCTCCAACATCAGGAATGAAAATACACCCTAGAGTTATACCAACAAATTTTACAATTTAAAAGAAATGTACAATTCTATGAAACATACAAAGTTACAAAACTTACAAAAGAAGAACTAAACAACCTGTGTTTATTAAAGAAATTGAATTCATTAAAAATTTTCCCATTAAGAAAATTACAGGCGGGTGCCTGGGTGGCTCAGATGGTTGAGCGTCTGCCTTCGGCTGAGGTCATGATCCCAGGGTCCTGGGATCGAGTCCCGCATCGGGCTCTCTGCTCCTTGGGAGCCTGCTTCTCCCTCTGCCTCTCTCTCTCTCTGTCTCTCACGAATAAATAAATAAAAATCTTTAAAAAAAAAAAGAAAGAAAGAAAGAAAATTACAGGCCAACATACTTCACTGGTGAATTTTACCAAACATTTAAGGAAGAAATAATAACAAGTCTACACAAAACATTTCTGAAAGTAGAAGAGACCAAAATCTTTCCAGGTCTCCAGGCCAAAAAAAAAAAGAGAGAAAGAGAGAGAGTGGATGGGGGAGCTACCAGGTACGTGGCCAAACCAGAAGAGAGACCTCTGCTCACAGCACCAAGATAAAAGGTTTCAGGATATCAGCAAATTACTTGACATTATCTTTTGGGAGCCTAAGAACCACAATGTGTGAATTTATGAGCTGAACAACAGGACCAGGCCAGGCCAGCCCCTACAAGGGTCTAATATAAGAAGGGGAGATCCTGAGGCAGTGCTAGACAAAGGGTCATTATTATTAAATCCATCCATTCAGGAAAATGCAGCAAAGGACTGGAAACCAAAAAGTAGGTAATCCTGTGTCAGAAATTAAGGAGTGGAGAAAAGTGGAAATGGAAAATCAAGAGAGAAGCAAACTAACATTTTTGGAGACAGTGACATAACCATATTTTTTGGAAAGATAATTCTAGTGGTAGTATGGAGAGACTTGAAAAGGAAGGCTTGAGTGGAAATCCTTGTTGTAAGAGTCCAAGCAAGAGGAGATAAACATCTCAAATAAAACATGATGTGGATAAATTATGGATTTAAGAGATATGCCTCAGATACATTGAAATAGTTTAATGTAAATTTTGTAAATGAATTGATTTCCCCAGGTCTCCTCTAGGTGAATAATCAAAATTATATTTCTGAAACTATATTTAGGATTAGAACTATAAAAGTCAAGACTCCACTAAGACACCTAACACCATGATGCCCCATTAGAAAGAGCAAGCTATCTTTTAAAAATCCTTTTACACAATTCCTCAAATTTTCTTCTATTTTTTCTTTCTTTTTTTTTATTATAGTTGACACACAATGTTACATTTGTTTCAGGTGTATGACATAATGATTCAACTTATCTATACATTATTCTATGCTCACTACAAGTTTATCAACTATCTGTCACCATAAACCCTATTACAATATATTCCCTATGCTGTACCTTTTATTTCTTGACTTATTCATTCCTAACTGGAAGCCTGTATCCCACTCTCTTTCACCCATTTTGCCCATCCTCCCACCCCTTTCCCCTCTGGCAATCATCAGTTTGTTCTCAATATTTATAGGTCTGATTCTGCTTTTTAATAATTTATTTAGTTTTTTGTTTCATAATGGACTTTACTGGGAAAAGTTAGTGTTAAAAACATTCAAATTCATAAAATTTAAATAAGACAGTAAAAGCTATACCTTGTAGCTATAGTAATCCCATGATTAGCTGGTTCTGTTTTTTATTTGTTTATTCATTTGCTTTCTTTTTAGATTTCACATATAAATGAAATCATATGGTATTTGTTTTTCTCTAACTTATTTTACTTAGCATAATACCCTCTAGGTCCATATTTGGATATATCATTTGCAAATGGTATAATAGAATTTTATATATATATATATATATATATATATATATATATATATATATATACACATACCACGTCTTCTCTATCACTGGACACTTGGGTCATTTCCATATCTTGGCTATTGTAAATAATGCTTCAATAAATATAGGGATGCATAGATCTTTTCAAGTTAGTGTTTTTATTTTCTTTGGGTAAATACCCAGTAGTGGAATTATTGGATCGATGGTATTTCCATTTTTAAATTTTTAGGGAACCTCCATAGTGTTTTCCACAGTGGCTGCACCAATTTACATTCCCACTGACAGACCACAAGGGTTCCTTTTTCTCCACATCCTCACCAACACTTGTTGTTTCTTGCCTTTTTGATTCTAGCCATTCTGACAAGTGTGAGGAGATATCTCATTGTGGTTTTGTTTTGCATTTCCCTGATGAGTGATGCTGAGCAACTCTTCATGTGTCTGTTGGCCATCTGCATGTCTTCTTTGGAAAAATATGTATTCAGGTCCTCTGCCCATTTTTAAATCAGGTTGTTTCGATTTTTTGGTGTTGAGTTGCATAAGTTCTTTATATATTTCAGATATTAATCCCTTATTGGATATATCATTTGCAAATATCTTCTCCCATTCAATGGATTGCCTTCTGGTTTTGTTAACATTGTCCTTTACTGTGCAAAAGCTTTCTATTTTGATATAGTCCCAATGGTTTATTTTTGCTTTTGTTTCCCTTGCCTTAGGAGACCTATCTAGAAAAATGTGGCTATGACCACTGCCAAAGAAATTACTGCCTATATTTCCTTCTAGGAGTTTTATGGTTTCAGGTCTCACATTTAGGTCTTTAATCCATTTTGAGTTCATTTTTGTATATGGTGTAAGAAAGTGGTCCAGTTTCATTCTTTTGCATGCAACTTCTATGGGCCAGGAACTGGACATTAAATGGTTAAAACACAGTCTCTGCTCTTAAAGAACTTAGAATTTAGTAATAGAGTTAAACAAGTAAACTATTTCTGTTGTATAAACTTAAATACTCTTTAACAGCGATCTTACCTAAATTTAATGATAAAAACCTAAGTGTATATTATAATCTTTACTTACATCTTGATGCAGACTTCAAGCTCTGAGACCTCTTCCCATCACTCTTTGATCTATCTAATCTCCCCCGCTCAGTATCCTGATCACCTGGTTCCTTCATTTCCTCTGTAAGCACAAAACTGAGACCGAGAAAGGGAACAGCTGTGAAATAAAAATCATTTACAGATATTTTCCTCTAACAAATTCCACAAGCACCAAACACCATGTGTGTTGCTAATTGTATGTTTGCACAGTGTCCAAGATGACTCCATCGGCAGGAGGTACAGCCACCAGCAGAGACCTCTGCAGAACGGCAGAATATAGTCAGATCGTCCCTTTTTACAGGGCAACTTACCACGGTGCCCTCTGATTTTCCGAAAGTCCACAGCGAAATGCTCCGCAGTGAAATGCCATTCCAGTCCATCTTTTGTCTAAACATTCCAACATTAAAGTTAACCCCCTGCCATCCTTTTGGTTCATCCCCTCCATTTCCTCTTCCCATCATTCCATCATTTAATTCCTCTAGTGTTACTAATTAACTTCAATTTTTAAATATTTGTTCAGGGCACCTGCTGTGTATCAAGTCCTATGGTAGATGCTAAATTATGGTACTGAACTAGAGATGTGATTCTTAACTTTGTGGAGCTTGTTGTTTAGATAGATAGATATTAAACGATCAATTAAAATACAGTAAGTGCTACAAAAAGGAAAGAATAGGGTCCTGTGGGCATGTCTAGCAAGATGACTAACCCATGTCCTCGGGTTCAGGAAGAGGTGTTTGAGACAAGGGTGATGAGTAGAGGTTGGCCAGGCCTAGAACAGACAGAGTGTATTAGGCAGAGGGAACTTGAGAGAGAGGGCTGTATCTGTGAAGGGCTGAAAGCAGTCTGTTCTGAGTGTGAGAGTGAAATGGGCGGTGAAGAGGAGGCCGGTAGCAGATTACAGAACCGTCTCTAAGCTTTTGCTAAGGAGTTTACAACTTATTTCTATGGCAACTGAAAGATTTTGAGGAGGGAAGTGACGCAGCAGATTTTCCCTGTCCTCCCTCTAGTGCAGCTCTTTGTCTTTGAAAGCACCTGCTGTATCCTCCTTGTAAGTCTCTGCTTCTCCACACTGAACACCACATATATCCTCATATCCTCACTCTCTTATGGCAGGGCTGGCAGGCAGAAGAGGACAGCAGTTCTATCTGACTCAGATTCGTGCTGCGATTCAGGTTTGAATCTCGGTTTTGCCGCATAACGTTTATATGAATCCCTCAGCTGTAAATGGGAGTGAAGTAAACACAACTTACAAGGCTGCTATGAGAATTAATTGAACTAGTGCATTATCCCCCCTTCCTGGTCTCTGCAGAAAGGCTAGTTTGCCCAGAGCAGATAGGATACACACTATATGGCCAGTGGAGAGGGCGGTGTGACCACCACCTCCTTTCACCCCCCACCTTGGGGGTCATTCCATCTGCTTTCTTGCAGTGACATCATAAGGCTGCCCTGTGTTGATTTGGGAGACAACATTGCAGGGTCCAAATGTTTTTCTTAAAAGCTATTATCAGGAAAGATAGGTCCTAAAATGACACTTAGGTTATTACATTTTGTTTAGCACTTTGGGGCCATTTTTCTGGGTTACCAAGATGATGTTTTAACTTTTAAAAAGTGTGTGTGTTGTTGTTGTTTCCTTAGTTGTTCTCCCTTTCTTCTTTCTTCCTCCCTCTTTTCCTTCCTTCCTTCCTTTCTCTCACCTGATTGTAAAATATATGCCCACTGGGATTGGGAAGTTTGTAGGAATCAAATGATAGAAAAATCTTAATTTAAAATCCCAATTCTATCATCCTGTATATTTCTTTTTCCTTCCAGTTTGGATATGCAGACTTGCTTTCTACATTTATACAAGTCATTGACTTGAAAATAATTAAATAATTGTAATAATGAAATATTTTTAAAAATCAATATTGCAAAAAAATCAATATTGCAAGCTAATATCAGTTATTGCACCTTGGTTGCGCATTATCCTACACCGTGGGTAAACTTTTTTAGGTAGCTACAAACATTTACCAATTCAATTCTTAAAACTACTGAGCACACTTACATCAAATGGTATTATGCCAGGCATTGCAGAGTATACAAAAATGAGCAATAGAGTCCTTGACCTTAAATACTTTACAATCTAGGAAGAAGAAATTGACAATTCTCTTTTAATATAGTCTCAGAATCAGCTTTTCTAAACCACTGATCCAGATCCGAAGCTGACTAGAACAAGCATGGTCTGAAAGTCCTGACCAAAGAGCAACTATAACTAAAAGTTTCCTTGATAAAAATCAACATGTAAACTATTGGAAAGAAAATACACTATTCTCTAAGTTGTCATGACGCAGGCCCTAAATAAGTAGAGCAGAGTAGGCCCTGGGTTTGCCAGTCAAAGTAAACTGATATTCTGTCGTTACTAATCAGTTAAGAACTGAGAGAAAACTGTTAGCCTGCAAACTTCAGTAACACCTCAGTCTATAAACAGGTATTGCTTTAGTTTTCTATTGCCCTCATACAAATTTCACAGCTTAAAATAACACCCATTTCTTATCTCACACTTCTGTGGGTCAGAAATCCAGGCACACTCAGCTGCTTCTCTGAGTTTCAGAAGGTCAAACCAAAGTGTTGGCAGAGCTATTTTCAGTTCTGCAGGCTCTGGGGAAAACTCTATTTCTAGACTTATTTAGATTATTGGGAGAATTCAGTTCCATGTGGTTGTAGGACGAAAGTCCCTGTTTTCTTGTTGGCTGTAGGCCCAGAGTTGTTCTAAGCTTCCAGAGGCCACGTGGCTCACGGCCCCCTTCAAAGCCAGCAATGGTAGGTCAAGTACCTCTCAATGATTTCAATCTCATAGTTTTCTTTTCTGCTTCCTACCAATAAAAGCTTCATGAGATCATTTTCTATCCTTTAGTCTTCTCTTTTCCAAATACATTTATTTTTAACATATTCTAACTGAATATTAACAGGATGTATATAGTCTAATAAAGAGCTTGTAAGACCTTTACTTATAACTTTATTATAAAGTGAATAAGAAACAATTACGGTAAAAAATTATGGTAACAAATATGGTAACCATTATGGTAACACCATTCTGTAAACAAAGGGTTTAAAACCCAACCAAAGGTAAACTGGTGTCAAGACAAAAGTATACTCTTTATCCCACACTATTATAAACAATATATTCCTCAAGTGGCTAATAGGACCACGCAATAAATTTTAATATCACAAAAACAGTTACAATCAGATTGTGAGCAGTATGGAAGAAAATACTGAAACCCAAGGAATTTTCCCAGTGTTCTGAACTAGCAATACTCTACAAAAAATACTGAGATCTTGTCTCAGTTTTTCTGGTTCAGAAAGGGTGGCTGAAGAACCTGTGAAAGGCAATTGAGCAGGTAAGGTAGGAGGGGCTCCTGATCTTCTGGAGCTTAGCAATATAATTGGTGAGATGGAATAAGGTGGTTTTTATTTGGTTGGTTGGTTGGTTAGGTTTAGGTTGTTTAGAATAAAGGATTGGGAAGTTGTACTGTAACCTGGTAAGGTTTTGGAGCTGAGTTCACCTCCTAGTTTGAACAAGGATAAAGGTTAGCTTGGCCAAGGGCCAAGTCCCTAGCATCCCTTAACTCTTAGTCCTTTTATATGTAAAATGAGGATGATAAATAAGGTTGTCTGGCAGAGTCATTGTAAGTATTAAATGAGATCTTTTATACCCATTGTTCTCAACACCAGCTGCACTTTAGAATCACTCAGAAAACTTTCAAAGCATATCATTCTCAGGCTCTCACTCCCTAGGTAATTCTTTTGTGAAGCCAAAGATAAGAAACCGGGGTTAAGGACCAGGGGTTTATATAAAGCACACAGTAGATATTCAAAAATGGTAGTTGTTCTTACCATAATTACTACAAATTCTCTCCAATACAGCCAGGGTTCAATAAATGTGACATGGAATCTTCAGAGAGTTGAAAGAGTTCTTATCTAGTCCAACCTCCCACCCAGTGAAAGTCACACATCTACAACATTAAGCTCAGCACCATTAGAGAAGCAGTCTAGTGTGGTGGTCAGGCTGAGAACTGGCTAGAGTCTGCCTGACTGTGCTAACAGCCTGGCTCTCCCTCTTACACCTCCTGTGAGGTGTTAAACAGGTGTTTAACCTCTCTGTGCCTTGGTTTTCTCATCTGTAAAGTTCAGTACCTACTTCATAAGGTTGTTCTGAGATCTCACTGAGTTAATACAGTAGAGCTTTAAGAACAGTGCCTGACACCATAAGCACTCAGTATGTAAAATGGTTGAAAGGATAATTTCATTCATTCCTTAGTAAATGAACAAATGAAGGAACACTTCAAGAGATGATCAGTCAGCTTCAATTTAAACATTTCAAGTTAGCGAGTAAGCACATACTGTTAATGCTCAGCTCTAGTTCTTCATTCATTTTATACTAAGCTGAAATCTGCCTCCCTGCAACTTGGATCCATTTGGCCCTTGTTCTTCTGGGGACATATACAACAAGTTTTCCTGTGTACCATAACCATTCAAATAATTGTAGCTACTTTACTTTTCTCCCTAGATCCTCTCTTTTCCAGCTACAGCATCCCAATTCTTTCCATTACTCCTCACTAACCTGGTTTCAATTCTTTTCAGCATCCTGATAGCTCAAGAAGTTCATTCCCAATGCATTAAATATCCCTCCCAATTTTGTATCTTCTTTTAAGGATCTAGGCATTTTCCAAAAGGGATGAACTGTTACTCTACCTCTTGGGAACATTATATGCCTTTAAGGCAGCCTAATATTGCATTATCTTCCAGGGTTGGGGGGTGGTAGGCTCATCATATACTGACTCATCATAATCAGCGTGTAACCAACCAGAATGACTACACCATACCTTGTGTGTTCTCAACTATGTCCCATCTCATACAACTGAACTAGTTAGGTTTGGATTCTGTTTGCAGAACTATCTTAAATGTACTTTTATTAGATTCAGATTCATTGATCCAGCCTATGGCTAATTCCGTTAACCAACTCATTGAGTAGACTATCAAGTTTTGAGTCAACCCTGAGGAAATATAAAGAAAAAAAAAAAATCATAGCACACCGTGGTGCAAAGGCATGTGTTGCTTGAAGGAGGTTTGCTGGAAACCAGATGGAGTGGCCCCTAAACTGACATTACTTAGATTCATTCCCCAGATTCCAGGGTCAGTCTTCAGTCGCACAAACTCGGACACTGTGTGCCAGAGCTGGCCATGTTAAGACTCAGAGATTGTCGTTTAAAGCAGATGCTCAGCTTTCACTTAACAATGTAAAACACCACTGTGCAAAGAATAATAATATTCCATGTATTCTGAATGTTTATCATGTGTCAAACACACTTCTAAAGATTCTGCACATACTGTTTCACATATTTCTCAAAACAACTCTATGATTAGGTGCAATTTCCAGATGAGAAAGCAGAGCAATTACTCCGAATCCTTCCCTCTCGCTCACCCATGCAGTTGGTTTCTATGTCCCGTTGCCAAGTGAACAGTCATTGAGCCCTTTGAATTCATCCTCTCCCTTCTACTCCCACTGTCACCACCTTCATCTGGTTATGTGGTCTCACCTGTACAATCACCACAGCCTCATACCTTGTCTCTCCCTTCTCTAGTCCATTTCTACCCTGCCTCTTGTAGTTCCAAAACACAGCTTTAATGTGCTACTCTTCCTGTTTGAAACCTATAATGGCTCCTCATTGCCACAGAATAAGAATTCAGCTTCCCTGGCGTGGCACAAAGGTCCCTCATCTTTGGGTCTGTAGCTCATCTCCAGTCACTTCCCGCTTCCTAGCCCTTCCTTAGTCCCTTCTTCTCAGAAGCCTTAGTAGCCACCTGAGACAACTCACGATGGACTGGACACAGTGAGTACGTGTATGCTACTATATCTACTTGTGTGCAACAAGTATTTATTCTGCACGTACTGCGTGCCATGAATGTGCTACCTACGTTACCTGCAATATCCTATTTAATTGTAACAAGAACCCCATGAAGTAAGCATTATCATCTTTCTTTTTAGATATTAGGAAGCTGAAGTCCAGAGGGGTCAACTTGACAGGTGTCACACAGCTAAGTGTGGGGCGAGCTGGTCGGCTTGACCCCGGAACCCAGGCACTTTCTCACCAGACTCCCTGCTTCCGGCTTAGAGCCGTCTAACCGGCACTCCTGGGGTCTGCTGTCTTCCACCCCAGCCGGATTAGGAGCTCCT